CAAAAGAGTCCAACACAAAGTGTCTCTTTGCGTTTAAAGTTCAGTCAGCGAGCCGCACACGCTGTTGTGATATGAAGTTGTTGTTGGTGGATCGCTCGTTGGCACGGTTACCAACAGCAGACCGGCTGGCTCGGTTACCAACCAGCAGACCGGTTGGCACGGTTACCAACCAGCAGACCGGTTGGCACGGTTACCAACCGACAGACCGTTTGGCACAGTTACCAACCGACAGACCGTTTGGCACGGTTACTAACCGGCAGACCGTTTGGCACGGTTACCAACCGGCAGATCGGTTGGCACGGTTACCAACCGGCAGATCGGTTGGCACGGTTACCAACCGGCAGACCTGTTGGCACGGTTACCAACCGGCAGACCTGTTGGCACGGTTACCAACCAGCAGACCGTTTGGCACGGTTACCAACCAGCATACCGGTGGGCCCGGTTACCAACCAGCAGACCGGTTGGCTCGGTTACCAACCAGCAGACCGGCTCGGGTCTTACAGTATGTACTTTGTAAGTCGTACATTCAATTTTGTTGATTTCTTCCGACAGGCGAAATACTTGGAGATTAAGTAAATTGGAAAATATACCCGGAGATGTGAAGCTTTTGTGTGTTTGTATGTTTGCGCTGTCAGAAGGTCCAGCCTATTGCCAAACAAAAACGTGAATATTTGACATAAATGTTGTGTTAAATTTGCTTCAACCCCAAACAGCGGCAAAAATACATTTCCATAGTAAATGGGAGCATATCGAAATAAAGGATTTTACATAAATATGATATAATATACACTATATGGTATGAATGCAATTATAAATCATGTAAAGTAACACAAAATAGCCTGTCTTACATGCTTTTTACAGTTAAGTTCTATAAAAAGGCCCTAGCCACAACAATTTGTTAATCCCAACACGAATGGCGTGCAGGACTCTTAGAAATTGCGTTCTCTCGAGTGTGCGGCCACCTCTCAGCCAGCACACACCCCAGTGGTTTAAAAAGCTTAAGGGGGGGACAACAACAAAAAAATAATTTCAGTCAGCGCGCAGTGGATTTGATATGAAGAGAGAAGCTTTCAGCGCTTTGTACAATGCTGCACCACAAACAGTGTTTCTAAAAAGCCTTGGGATTGAGGCAAATATACTGCAACAAACAAATATATTTCCATCATATCCCTGGATATCTTGGATCTCGCCGTGAACACATATGAATGAGTTAATCATTTTTCCTGAAAGCTCCCCAGGCTCAGTAAAGAAGAAGAGAAAATGATTGTGCAACTAGCCAAAACTGAATAAATAAATAAATCTGTAAGCCATTCTCTGAAAAGATAATTAGGACTGAATTTAAATACACACCCTTGCATTTTCCACACACACACACACACACACATTCTCCCTTAATACTTTTGGCATGTCGACACTTCAAAAATAATCATCGTCCTCCCCTCAAAAAGCAAGTTTAGGGAGATTCATCAAACTCCTGCACAGCATTGGTTTAACGTCCCTAAGCCAGATCTCTGCTGTAAGAATCAGCTGTATGAACAGCACCACACAGGTGGGACTCTGCCAAATCAGCAGAAATATCTTTAATTAGGATGTGGGCCACGGGTTTACTCACACAGTCAAACAAACAAACCATTAATCACCTCATCGGCGGTCCCACATGCACATATTTTAAGAGGCAAACTATAGCAGCCCTGTGTATGTGTGTGTTTGTGAGGACAAAAACAGTCATGAAGACTAAAAGAGCAGAGAAACCTGGAGGAAGACGGCTAAGTGAAAGAAAAACATTAAGACAATAAGAGATGGAAAATGTGCAGTAAGGTGAGAGATGTAGTGACAGAGACCGAGATGTTTCCCTTTAACTAAAAAAAAGAAAGACGCAAATAAACTAGCTTAGTTTTTTCAGAATTTGCATGTTGTGCACTTAGTATGCAATTATAATGTAATGCGACAAGATTCCAATACAGTATACTTGTGCTTTTCTACTGAGAACACCCGTTTTTTCTTTCTCTATTCAAATATATCCAAATATACATCTGACTAAAAATCCGACCACAAGCCAAAACATCCCATTCTGTATCCTGAAGATTGCAAAATGGTTTCCTCAGAAGGAGCTTATTTTTATAATTGAACCAAAGATATGAGGTACGCACACACACGGTAGAGACATGAGGGACGAGAAGTCCAAAGAGACCCAAACAAGGGATGCCTAACGAGGAACTCTAACAGGTGTTTCTCATTAAAGCAGGAAGAATCTGGTGCAGAGAGAGAGAGAGAGAGAGAGAGAGAGAGAGAGAGAGAGAGAGAGAGAGAGAGAGAGAGAGAGAGAGAGAGACACACAGAGGGAAGCAAAAGATGAGCAGATATATTCCCGTATTATTCATTAGTTTCTTACAGGCTGCTGATATCAATGATTCCCTGAGAATCGCCACCTCGCCACACACACACACACACACACACACTTTTTATATCACCCTCCATCTCTCCTCTCCCTGACCTCTTGGGCTCTCTTCAAAGAAAACAAAAAATGATTGTGTCTTTTAATCTAGGATGCTTTTGTTCCAGTTTAGCCTCATATTCCCGGCGCAGACACGCACCCTCTCACTCCCCACCTGGACTACGGTTCCTCCTTCCCGTTTGGGCGGATTCGACATCGAGCCTTCACCTGTCTAACCAGCGGCGCCGAGCCTCTGCCTTGGGAACTGCTCCGATTAACCCCTCATCCCACAGGCTTGCCTTCCCTCACCGGAACCCCCGTCACCTGCACAGCACCCACCCACGGGCCTCTTCTCCATCGGCAGCGCTCCGCTGCACGCGGAGGCCTCCGCTTCATTAACCGTTGAGCTGGACTGCGCCGAAGCCCACGTGCAAAAAGCGCGGGAGGAGGGGGGAGGGGGGGGAGTGTCTCTCATTAAACACTTTGAGCCCCGACAGAATCAATTACAGTGATGTATCGATTTGTCAGCAGGTCCCGGTGGCTCAGTCGGGGCACCGGGACCTGCCCGCCGGACAGGAGAGAGAGGGGACAAATGGAAGGATTAAAAAAAAAAAAAAGGGGAGAAGGGAATAGAGAGGTGAGAAGATGAGAGTAGAGGGACGGACGAGGAAAGGAGAGATGGAATTGGGAAGGGCACACACACAGAAAGGAAAGGAAGGCGAGGAAGGATGTGAGGGAGAAAGCTGGGAGGACTGAAGTGGAGGCGTTTGGAGGCTGAAGGAGTAATGGCAGAGTGTAAAGTGCAAGAAGAAAAGGGTGGAAATAAGAGACCAAGAGGAGGAGGGGGGAAACCTTTCTGTTCTTTGTATTTCTTCCCTCCCTCCATCTCCTCCCCACCATGATCTGAACCCTCCGCCCATGCAGGGCGAACTGCACTTCCAGGGACTTGTGTTGATTAAAGGAAGCAAAACGTGGAACCCGCTGGGTTCCGGTGTGATAAGACCATTTTTTCATTCTCTCCATCCATTTCCTGAACATGTACCTCTGGTGCATTTCTATGAGCATATAGTATTTATAGTAAATATGATTTACCGTTATACCTATCCGCTTTTTATTATCAGAGTCAATTTACAACCGTGTTACACTTTTGCAGCAACGTCTATCCAGAGCCCGGGGAATAAGAATTTATTCAAAGCAGCTAGGCTTTTTTTAATGTTTCAGATGACACACACACAACACGTAATGAGGGAGCGGGGCTTAACATAGACAACATGGGACGCGATTAGATGGTGCATCCACGGTCTGACAGCCACGGGGGGGGAGAAAGGCATTCATTCATGCGGCGGTGTGGGCGGCGTGCAGGTTAAAATACCAAAAGGCCGTCGGTGTGTCCCGTCGGTGTTTTGTCAGGGTCGAGAGTGATCCTCTGCTTGTGCAGCAGTAAGAACGAGCTCGGCGGAGGCAATATTCACACGGACACACGCAGACGTGATGTTGGAACTTGTGATTAGAATATTTCCATTTCCATTTCGATCATCAAGACACATTTCGCCTCATTCGGAATACGTGCAGAACGGATTTTTTTCAAAAGCACATTATTAATCTCCTATCCAACAGGATTAGGTTGCTGTTTTAATCCGCTACAGGATACACACGCGGTGTCCTGTTGCACATGTCCCGGGAGACATAAATCAATCAAAAGAAGCCGTTTCACGGAGGACAGCCCCGAGGTCAGATCCATATCATCGACAGGGCCGCCGGTCACACTAAGCCGGCGTGCTGCTCACTTTTCAGTCATCTGTTACCTGGTGCAACAAAATATTGGCCGCTTTGCTGCCTACCGCACCACCAGGTACAGGAGCATTCCCACAAATAATAAAAATAATATTTAACGTAAATAATAACACATAAATAATAAAAATACATTTAAAAAACATATTTATTCAATGTATTAAATATATACATATAAATGAAGGCCACAGCCTGTCTCCCATTTTTTGGTTATTAGGGTTTATTTGTGGAAACATGCTATCAGGAACATCTCTGCAGAGCATCTACCACCGCAGGGTTCACAGGAGAGCTGCCTCCATTCTCAAAGATCCCACCCACCCACAACATGTTGGGGCTGTTCACGCTTCTACCGTCAGGCAGGAGGTATAGAAGTGCCAAATGCAAGACCACCAGAGTAAAAAACTATTTTTTCCCCACTGCCATTAGAGCCATCAACCGCTGAGAGGACTCTATAACCTGACTCACAACTGGTCTGCACTTTAGCTTGTTAGGATTTCACTTACTGTTACTGTACCAATTTATATTGCATACATTTCATTTCATTTAAGTTTTTTTTTCTTTTACAACCTGCTCAGTTTTGCACTTTTCCTCCTTACCTAATTTCTGCCTCATCCTGACCTAATTTTTATTCTTATTTCATGTACATTTATGTAAATATTGTATTTTTATTTTTATTTTAAAATTGGTCGGCTTTCCAGAAAGGCAAGCACAAGAATTTCAATACACAGGGCGTGTGTAACTGACAATAAAAAAAAAATCTTTGAATTAGGGGAGCTCCAGGTTCACAGTTTATTTGTGTCCTCAAATTGTCACACATGGACACAGCTGCTGTCTCTTGCAGTTTCCTGTAGGTGACTTGTGAGACTTCTTCTTCTTTCAGGGCGTTCTAGGCGAGCAAACTTAACCGGACATGTAGCCGAAGGCAAAACAAAACATTTTCAATAGTGAAACCCATAGAAACCTAAATAAATAATGTGGTAAAGAATCACAGCGAGTTTTGGAGACACATATAGGTTTGGGGGGGGAGAAAACTGAATTTAGTTCTCAGTTCCAACTGTTAGCGTTAAAACCAAGAAAAAAGTTTCATAATGCAGAATTATTTCTCACCCCGAGCCTGAACTCCAGTTCCAGAGAAGGGTCAGTTAATATAGCGCAGTGAAATGTCAACTCCTCCAGCGTCACTGTTTTTCAAACAGCACCAACAGCATCGCACACAACTCCGAATCTCACAAAGGTCAGCCGTATGGCGCCGGCCTTCTCTCCCCGCCGGTACGCATGTGCGGCTGAATGTGGGAGTGAGGGAGAAAGAATGAGGGACAGCGGGAGAGTTAAGATCTCAGAGTAGTTTAAACCGAGCCCAGCGGTTCGATATCCATCAGATTTATGTCTCCGTTATTTTTCCTCTCCCAAACAGTGTGTGATAAACTCAGTGAAGGACACAATAACAGAGACGTACCTTTTAACCTCTCTCTCGCTCTCTCTCTCTGGGTCTGTATTCTGGTCTCTGGCCTTTCTCTCTCTGTCGCTGGGCTATCAATCAGTCTCGTCGTGATTGCTGTTGGATTACGGGGCTTTCGACGTCCGCTTCTAGCGATTAGCGTGGGGACAAATGAAACACCCCGATATCCCTCCACAGTGGCTGAGGTAGATTGTGGACTCCTTCTCGTATTCACAGACAAAGCTGGCACCTCCACCCTCACATCCATCCTCGCCGAGTTCCCAGGTGTCACACGTAGTTAGGCTGTAATAACGGTTTTGATCTAGCTGCGTTTCCTTGCTCGAGCCTCACGTGCACGTCGCACATCAAGCAGTGCACGGCGGGTTTGGAGCTCAGTGGCAGCCATGATGGATTAGGACTGGCTTTGGGGAGTAACGCAAAAAAAAAAAATAATAATAATAATCAAACACCAACATGTACACACCACAGAGACGACAAACAGTTCCAGGGCCCAGTGTTTATCTTCCCCGGCTCCTGCACACACACGAGGACAGATGGTAACGGCGACCATTGGCACGGCGCCGTAGTAGCCCACCTCCCAAGCGTGGTGATTCATCACCTGCAGCAGCGCCTCCAGAGAGTGTGTGTGTGTGTTTGTGTGTGTGTGTACCCGACAGCATGACCTGATCCAGTGGCCCGCTAACCTTATTAAGAAACAAATAGATGACAACGGAGGGAAAAGCAATGTGTTCAATCCCGGTGGGCAAAACCCTCACTGCAGCACACTGTCCCTCAACGTCTGCCACCGATAACACGCACAAACATATACACACACAGTGACAAACATACAAGAGGATTCAAGCACGCTTCTGCTGAAAGTTAAACTTGACTTAGCGTTTATCTTCTCAACCCCCCCCCATCCACGTCCTTTGCCAGTCGCATTTTGCTTTATACCTTCAGCCTGCGGATACACGCATGCACCTCACAGCTTCTGTTCATGTTACATACTGTGAACTATGAACTGAAAACACGGACTCACAAAAAAAGAGAGAAGATTTATAACTCAAATCAAAACAGTGTTTAAACGCATTTCATTTTTACGCAAGAGTTCACCACAGATGTAGTTTTTAAGGGGGGATCCGCTCCAGCGTTTACACCCCACAAACAGTTAAAAGCACACAAATGATGAGTTTTTGTTGCCCACTTTAGTCTCTTAAATAGTTTTTTGTGCATGTTTCCTTAATAAGCAAGCAAGTGTGCATGTACATGTGCATGCGTGTGAGTATCTCAGGGTAGTAAGAGAACACTCTGCTGGTCTCTTTGTGCAGCAGCCTCCTCCTCGTCGTCCTCCTCGTCGTCGTTTTGGTCGTTGCTGGCTCGGCCCCTGCAACACCAAATTAAGGAATGAAAAGAGGAACGGCCTGTACATGCAGTGCAGTTATGGCGTTTGTGTGTCATCCGCAGTGATCATCACAGGGTAGTTGTTCGGTAGCATACTAAATCCTGTAACCATTAAACATATTTTTTTCAAACGTAAAACATGTACACTGACCATTTTAAAACCCTCAAATGTATGAGGTACAATTCGCCACCCCAATGGCGCCTGCGTACTCTTTCATTGAGACATTTAGAAGATGCTTCTTCCAGTTTGCATCAGACTATGACGAGGCCGGATTAAATTTTGATTTCATTAAGACAAGCATATCAATAACATCCACAGTGGCCACGTGATCTGCCACTAGTGAGAACACAGTGATACTGATCCAAAAACAGATATTGTGCCCTGTTTTATTATAAAATCTGATATTTTGTCTATCTTTCACTCATCCATTCAAATCATAATCTACATAACAAGTGTTAAATGAAAAACACAAAGCATGATCTGTTGCCTGCTTGTTGTTTTTCATTATTATTCAGTGTCTCTTGTGCAGCATCAGAAATGTTTCATCTGCTTTGCTTTAATGAGCTGCTTGACAGCTGGATCTTTGATGAAGTCCAACACTGACCATTTGTATGATCACTTTCAGTGATTGTCAGTATTCACATGCATGCGAACCTGCTAAGATATAATAATGAAATCTCTACATCAAAAAAAAAAAAACATCCATTTTCCAAATGTGAATGTGATGCTGCTGCACTTAGTGATCAAAGGTTAGCCAATAGAGTGAGGCAACGCTGAAGCCAGACAGCTGCAGGCAGTTGAGTCAGAGATAGATGATGAAGTGCTGTCTGGATATGAGGTGGACATACAGCAGGTCAAAGCGCACACTCACACATGAATGAATGCACGCAGACTGCACACAATATAGTGTCCAGAATTCACCGACTGAGTCGGTGTACAATAGAGGGTCCGACTACTGTAAATGTCACAAAAATAAATGTCTATTTTATAGGTTTTGTAAAAGAATAAAACATGAACCTGTCATGTTTTCCAGATAACAGTACATGATGGTGAGCAGCAGAGAGACGGCTAGCAGCACCCCTCTATCATGCTTTGTCATCATGCCTCTACTCTGCAATGCAAATGCACTATGCGTTTAATGTAATCTAAAAGGGAAGCCATCTTGTAGAGTAATAATGCCTCGGTGAGTACCGGGTGACTGAGATCATGGCTCTCGTGGAGATGCCTCAGTTAATCCCCGTGCACGAGGCAGTTTTTGAGTTAAACATTTTCTCATCTTACAAACTGCCCTTAAAAAGTGAAAAAAATGAAAGATCGAAATAAACACCTTTTGATTTTATTCTATAGCTTAGAAATGATTTGAACTTTGAAATAGATATTGTAATAGTTTGATCCCAAATGTTTTCTGAAGAATGAACATTGGAACGTCATGGTTTGCCACTCGCCCAGTGTGTGTGTGAGTGCGTGTGCATGTTTTGAAGGATGTCAGGAGCTGTTTTGGGAGCCCTCTGTGTAGTATGTGTTAATCCGGTTATTACACGTCTCAGCACAAGGCCTCTAGCGCAGATTATGCCCACTACTCACACATACACATGCACAATAAAAATCAACAACATGCAGACACCCACACACAAGGTTTTGGGAATAGGAGAAAAATACATTAATGCGCTGTCGCTCTCCCTGTCTCACACACACACACACACACACACACACATTAAGCAGAACATTAAGGCCCAATAGCCAACATGCTGTTGAAGCTAAAGTCGTTCTGCTGGCTAACGATCCATTACACACTCCACATATCCGACAGAAAGAGGGATAGACGGAGCACAGAAAGAGAAGGATTACCCCCCACCGCGACCGTTGGCATAGTGGAGAAGTGTCAGGAAGTGTAGGGGAAGCGAGAGCAATGGATTACATGGCGATGAAAAGAGACGGACAACACTCGGAAAAACAGGAAGTCATGAGGACACGCTCAGATTCTCACAGAGCAAAAAAAAACAAAACACATTCTCCTTTTAGGATATCGAAATAGAATGAACATTTTAACAGCCACCTACGCTGCAGCTCCTAGAGCGGGAAACAGGATATATTAACTTTCTCTGGTTCAGTCACAGAACAAACACTACCTTATGGGGGCTCTATTTTTGTGAACTCAGCAGGAATCCGCAATAGAGTTAGATTTGGCTGTTTTACATTAAAAAAGTATTATCATCAACCTGTGAATAAAAGATTTGCTCAAACATGACACACTTGTGTGTCTGGGAACCTCACAATACAATTTGGGGAACTACAACGCCGGCAACATTCCACGTCCTTCACCGACTCAAAAATACAGCCAATGGAGACGAGTTTACCCTTCATGGTGAATTGTGTGGGTGGCGGTGGGTTTATTTGGGTGCGTGTGGATGTTGCCCACCATGTGAACGGATCCTCTCCATGTGGATCTCGACCTGCACAGTCTCCCGTAAGTAGCGAAGCCTGCTTCCATGTGTCTGAAGTAGATAATGAAGAAGGGTAACTCGTCTTATTTTATCACCGTCATCACCAGTTTTAAAATACACCAAACACTGTCATTGTTCACAAGGATACAGCCATATTTTGTTATAGTAATCATTAGCACAGTGTGTGTCTGTACCCTTGGCCATGAGTCGGCGTTCGTGCTCCAGAACGTGGAGTGCGTGTGCAGTCGTGTCAGACTCCAGGTCAGGGTCCTCGCAGCCTGAGGGGTCCACACCGCAGACCTCCATGATCTCCCGGGCTGCTCGGGACAACGGACGAAACTCTGGAGCCGATTCCGAAGGCAGCGCAAGTGTGGGAGTTACGGGGAACGCCATAAGGGGGAGGAGAGAGCGGTGAAAGGTTCGTCTTCGGACCGTGATAACGAATGGGTGTGGACTTGCCACACAGGCTGGACGCCGACTCGTAATGAGAAAGACAGGATACATTATTCAATGCACGGGAGGTTGGAAGTATGAACGTACGGGTGGGTGCAAGGACGAGATAAGAGGAGATGTAGAGGAAAACAGGAGAAAATAAAAGGAAGGAGAGGAGAGTAGGGGAGGGGGGACGACAGAGAAACTATCACAACCGCCAGAGGAATGAGTGGTGTCTTATACCACTCCACTGCGAGGCACATCAAATTGAATCAGATTGAACATCCATCCCCACCTGCTCACTGTAAATTACGTGGAGGCCCCCACTGAGAAGCAATGATGGTGTGCGTGTGCGTGTGCGCGGCACACTGATTCCTCGCGCCGCGTGCTGTCTAACCAGTTTCTGCTCCAATGTTAAGTCTTTCATTCTTTCAATCTTCCATTGTCTCCTTACCCCCCTCTGCCCCCACCCGACTCCCACCTTCCCCTCTTCGTCTCTCAGCGCCTCTCGCTGTCTTTCAAATTGGCACAGAACCTCCACTTAGTGCCTCATAAGCACCTGCACTGTCAAACTAAGCGGCGTGGGAGGGATTATGGCTGCAGTACAGGGCAGCTAACGCACATGCAATCACATGTACAAACATCAATTTACTTTCATTTCGAAGCAGACAGGCAGACATCTAGATAGTGGTTACCTGAAAAAAGCTCTGTGCCTGATTGAAACCGGGAGTGCGATTCAAATCTGATCCCTCTAGACGACCTCCTTCTGAAGTTCTTTAGGAAGGTCCGATTTCAATCTTTCCTGTTTAGCATGTGTGGTTTGTACTTCTAAGAAATAGTATATTAGATTTAAGTCATATTAAGATTTACTTAATGTCATGAACAGGGTTCTATGCAACATACATGTAGCTCAATATTTTAAAGAGAAAAAATAAAATACTATGAACAGGAAAAGGAGGTCGCGACTCACAAAGTTGCGGAGGAACAAAAGTTATTTCAAGACAATAATTAAAAGCACATTGAAGGCAAAGCACAGATGTTTGGGGAAGAAGCCCTCTTCAGCGTGCTGTCAGACAGCACAGTGGAGCGGTACACTTACAAGACAGCATGAGGCGCACTGAGTGAGGCAACTTGCCGAAACATCTGTGCTGAGGTTCCCATGTGGTATGAAAAAATATTGAAAACATTTTGAGCAACAAAGAGGCCTTTTGAAGCTGTTTTGGAATGTGTTGAAAGAGATCTTGAGAGCTTTGTGAGGTCTGGACCTCTTTTAGAAGTATTACATATATTTGTGATTGAGCTATTTACTCCATGCTGCTCCCATCATTGCGTCAGCTGACCCGGCTGCTACCAGCTAACGGTGCTAGCAGCCCGAGCGGTGCTACCCGGGGCAACCGTGAGGAAAAATAGCTTTGGACGAAGAAAAACAAGAAAGATTTGAGTGAAGGAGAGGAAGGAAACTGAATAAGTTAAAGGGTGAGGCATGAAAAAGCTTTGCTGGATTTATGAAGACAGCAGGTCCAGATAAACAGTATAAACAGCCATTTACAGTAGAGTGAGCGGAGGGAAGTGGAAGGGAACGCTGTGAATTAGTGCAAAGTGGAGGATATTAAATATATCACTGAAGAACACCGTCTCGTTTGTCAGGTGTGTATATGTGCATCAGTACAAACAGTGTAATGCAGTGTTTCCGTAATGTGTGTGTGCAGTAGGTGTGTGTATGATGTGCGTGTGTGTTTGACAGCGGTACAGCATAACCGCAACAACAACGTGTTGCTTTATGCAGAAGTCAGGTGTATTCATTGTGTATGAAATACAGTTTTGCTTGTGTAAAAGTAAAGGACTGAGTCGAATGGAGTTCACGCACACACACACACACACACTTACCGGATGTTGACATTTCTCCTCTACTGGTGGGTCTGGTTGAGTGAATTTGAATTGTAGTTGGCTGCACGCGGTTATTTTCAGCCTCGTGTTCCTCGGTGTAGGCACTCAGGCCGCTGCTTGGCCCATAACCCTCTGACTCTAAAAGACGGAGAGGAAAAACTGAGACAGGGAGCACATTCAGATCTGTAAAGAAACAATATAGACAAAAGGATGTCTATATTTATATAGTAATTCACCAGATTGTCTACGCTGAAGCATCCTAATCTCCTAATTCCCTTTCATACTCTTATTTAGCCCTTTATATGCTCTAAAAAGTGCAACATCGGGATTGAAGATAAATAATATCTGAGGACATGGATCGTGTCAAACTGCTATTAGTTGTGTGTGTGGCGAGCAAATGGAAAAAAGCAATTCGGTAGTCATAATCATTTCAACATATCACTCTTACAGCGTGCATCGCATTCAGTCCCTCTTTTTGAAGTCATTCCCTCGATGTGGAAAAAGTCAGAACTTAAAGAGAAAATCCCAACTCACCCATTCTAAATGGAGTAATACAGAAGTCACCATGGTCGGAGGAATTTATGAGCCTATTAATTCTAATTGAATTCATGCAAATTTAGTAAATGACATGTGATACGGTAATCCATTTGTGCGTTCAGCAGCATCAGCACATGTACCAAAGTGATGCTGCTTAACAAGCCTGTTCAGCCAATCCTGACGGCTGCAATGCAATTACTGCTGTCGTCTTCTTTCCCTCCAGTGGTTAGCCAATCAATTAATACTATTGACTGGATGGAGAATCTACTAACTACTCTCAATCAGCTACAAATAAAAAGAGGAAAGGAGAAGAGGAGGTAGACAGACAGCTTCTCACCTAAAACAAAAGATAGTACTGCAATTATGTCAGTCCGTCGGCGGGTTTCTTTGTTCATTTTTTGCTAGTTTTTAATTTTCTTGTTGCTTGTCACTCTACATCTATCACTCCCTCTCTGCTTTTTAGCAATTCTTACTGTTAAAATCCCCAAACGGCGGCATATACTTCCTTTCTTTCGCTCTTTCTTTCACTTTCTCTGTCCGTCTCAGTCTCTCTGGATGCACACGAGACAGAAACTGCACTCTAACAACCTCATTTTCTGACTGAGCGGGGAGCAAAAAGGAGAGAGAGGTGGAAGCGTAGAGCAGGAGACATATAAAACCTGTTGGATCTGAGCCCTGCCAGGAAAAAGAGAGGAGACAGATGGAGGGATGGAGGGACATAAATGAGTGTGGAGCGTTGTCAAGGTGATATTCCTCCTCTCTAACCTTTCTCTCTCATTAACTTTGGAGTTTTAACGATGGTGGCAGAGACAGTGCTGGTTTGACGAGCGGCCGGCTGCATGGCTGGAGGGGGAGGGGAGGGGGGAGGTTTGTGGGAGTCTCTGACTGTCAACCTCATTCATTTGACACAAGCTCGACGATGAAACAGTGAAAAGATGAACTTTAGGACTCGATGAGTAGAAAAAGGTTCATTTTTGTGCCTCTTCAAAGCGGTTAAAGTATGAATCGGAAAGCCCAGCTGAAGGGACACAGCGGAACCTGTTTGAAATGCATGTATTCAACAGCTTCGGACAGGAGTTGAAGGTGTAATGAAAACAAGATGAATTATAGCTCCTGATTCAATCCGAGTATTATTATTTTTACGTCGATGCAATTTGGAGGTGAAGGCTGGACTTCCATCAGCTTTGCTGCCTTCCACCATTGGTGTCAAAAGATAAAGTAAATATTGAGTGCCATGCGTAGGACACAGGCTTTATAAATCAACACGCTGCAGCTTGTAAGGGAACATGAAGAGCAAGCTGCGTTTGTATGCAAGTGCTTCTTGGGATGAAATTTGGACTTTGCAACACGTTCTAGCTCCAAACACCCAGCTGTGTCACTCTTGCTTGGTTTCACATGGTGTGATGTTACAGGTACCTCGCAGCTTCAGTTTTACCACGTCAGTCTCATTTCAAAATGAACTTCAGGTTCTGTTTTGTTGGTTTACTCAAACACCAAACTACTTCCTTGGAAACTACCGTTGTTTGAGTTGAAATAAGTATTCTTGTAATAATGAACTAAATCTAGTTTATAAACATTAGTAGCTAAACTAAAGTAAATGGGCACAAAAAAACAGCAAAAAGTCCTGTGTTTGTTCCCATCACACCAGCTGTGGTATCTTTGAGAAGTTAGGAGTTAGAATAGCTGGGCACTTTTACAGAATTCAGGTAAAGTGCTTGCCTACAGTTCGATAAAATGAAGGCACATTTAAAATACATTTAAAAAAAGAAGCAAAGGCACGAGCAGGCAAAGCCATAGACACATTCACACACAAAACAAAACAGGCCTCTCAGGAAAGCTCCCCTTGGACCTACCAATAGTAAATTATCGATGTTGTCCCCCATCTCTCGTTTTCCACCAAGCAGCCAGTGCTCCTCTGGGTTTAAAACTCATTTTCATCTCTCTTGTAAGCTCTTCGTTTTTACATATTTGTTCTAAATCCTATTATGAGGCCTTTGTGATATGAATAACGCTTGCAAATTGGAAAGTATCTCCAGGCAAAAGTTGGACACAGAGGTAATCTTCACAATCTAATCTATTGAACACAACAACAGCGAGAGCATTTTCTCATGAGGTTTATAGGAAATCATGAGGCGGTTTAAAGAAGAAAAAAAGGAGAATGTACACATCTGTCTTTCTTCTTTAACCCACCTGTTAGGTCTGAGTCTTGTGGTGAGTTGTAGCCTGTGAGCAGCGGATCACAGCGTGTGTGTTCTGCTGTGTCGGAATGACCACAATTCATGTCCAAACCCGGAGGAGGAAACGCATCCGGATCACAGAACTGCTCCGATACAGGCCCAGCATTTTGGTCGTGCACCGCCTGAGGATGTGAAAACAGATGGAGCGATGCAGGACGAAGGTGGAGGCAAGGGGAGGGGCGAGTGGTGTGAACGGGAATGAATGTAAGGAGCGAGGCAAAAAGACGGCTGGTGTGAGGGTGAAGGGGAGCGATGACGCACAGAGAATGTGATTATGGAGGGAGCCGAGGAGGGGACAGGAGGGACTAGAGTGAAGAGTGTACTGGGGAAGAAGTTTGTTCCCCAGTTCCATTTCTATCCTAAAACAATCAGCTCAAAAGGACAAACTGAAATTCAATATCCATTTAACGTTTCTTACGACAGGTAAGTGTGTTGGAATTTCTGCTTTTCCATTTTCTACTATGTGAACGCATATTAATGAAATGGTGCCTTTCACTGGAGATTATTCCCCTCTCTCCTTGCTTCCTCTGCTTCCTCTTGATGGATTGATTTTTAATTAACCGCTGGAGCTGCTGAGAGCGTCTCATAACGGGGTGTCGGGTTAGCTGTTCCTCCCGCGCAACTGTCCTCCTGTGAGCCGGGGTTAAAATAAGGAAGCTCTGTTTAGTTAAGATTAGATCTGACGCATTAGCATGCTAGCCTTGGTTGGCTGGGAGAAAATAGAAAGTAATGCATGTGGGAATAGTATTGCTGAGAAAATAGGAAGGCGCAACAATGAAATGGCAAGAGACCAAACACAATGAGAAAGAAAACAATGGAGTTGTGCTTGTGCAGACCAATGAGTCCTCATAACAAACCCGCTGCATGAACAATAGCATGAAGGTAAAACAAAATGGGGGAATGGCAGACGAATGGAGAATAGATATAAGCAAAACAAATGGACTGAAGAAAGATAAAGTTTATGAAAACACATGAATGATCAGAGAAGAGATCAAGTCCAGAGAGAAAGAGAGAGAGCTGTAAAAGGAATACTATCAAATCATTTTAGGAGCAGTTTGATTCATGTCCAGAGGCCACAGATAACCACCATTTTTACAATCATGAACCTAATTTTGCTCCATCTTCTTAATAAAGCACCAGGCCCCCATATTCTTTTCATTCCCTTGTCACACTATAAAGGATTCATCCCATTAAATGGCTGATAGGTCGTTTGGGACCATTCAAGCGGTGTCTTTTTTATCCACCCAGTTTCTTCTTTCTTACAATGCTGTGCACCTTTAACACCACCGCATAAGGTGTTTCTGAGCTGTAGATGAATAATGTATATTCATTAGTGTAATATAAATGTTATCTGATGGACCAGGTCAGCTACAATAATACACTATAACTAAAAGTCTTCTAATTCTACGTTGATAATGTCCAGTGTAATGGCATAGTTGTATTAAACCTATTGCTCGTTCATGCATTTCAGCACCCGGCATGAAAGACATACTTTAACAGATTGGGATACAACTACATCAGCCTACATGGCAATTATTTTATTCATTTGTTAGCAATCAGATATTTTCCTCACTGTCATTTGATAATATTTGAATCGAGTGTCTTTTTTACTGATGCCTTATTTGTCATTTTGGCAAATGTACTTACATTTCAGCGCTGTATTTTAAATAATAATAATAATAATTTCATGTGCTCCCAAGGAAAAAAGTTAGATTAGAAGAGAAGAAGAGGAAAACACATGTGGAAACATGTTACCATGGATGGTGTTGACAGTTGCTCTTTCTCACAGGTCGGCAAATCTTTTTCACTCTGTGCTTCTGCAGCAACAAAGGGATCTTCTGAATGAGTGATGGCACGCTCCTCTCTGGATCTCCGTCCGTGCATTCGTGCTTCTTCGTCCGAGGAGTCTTCCTCATGTGGAGCCCCATCCAGGCTGTCAGTGGAAATTTCATCTCCACTGTCTAAATGAAAGATACAGGCAGGTTCTTTAGATTTAAATGAAATCTATATACATTATTTCTAAAAAAAAAAACCCATTTAGCTCAAACAATGTGACTTTCAAGTTCAATAGCATGACCACATTATTAATGTATCACATTTTGAATCACTCAAGAAACATTTACTCTGTAACATGCAATGGACATTTTAAATGTGATATCCATGTCCTTGAAAAGGCCGCTGTAATGATGTGAAGATCTTACAGAGCAGACGTTTGTCGTTAGACTGGTCAAAGAACTAAAAAGCAGTGAAGGGTGAGAAGGATTCAAAAGATGAAGGAAAACACAGAGATGAATGATGAATAGAGACAGAGGGTGTGGATCGCGACTGAGCGAGGTAAATTAGGGAAGGAATGGGCACATTTTACAGTCCCAAAGCCCATATTTTACCAGAATATATTATTCTGAAAGGTAAGTGAAAAAAAGAAGAATGAATCAAAATACCTTTTAATACACCACACACGGGGAGAACCTCAGATGTATGCTCAAATTGACATGCATACTGCGCACTTCAGCAATCCAGAAAAAGATACATCAAATTAATTGGTCCCAAATGTGTATCTTTAGTGTGACTACACTGTCTACCTGAGTGTGTGTGTTCGTGTGTACAGTAGACTTGCATGTATAGAACAAAGCATGTATCTGCATCAGAGAATCCATCTGTATGTGCTATGCTAAGAGGATTAATTGCCATTCTTTACGGTATAATGACCTTCCTGTCAGTTCTATGTTATGTTGCATATTTACTTTAAATCCATATCAACATAAAAAACCATTTGAAATAGTAAACTTTTTAGCATAATGTGGCTGTTCAATAACCTGTTTGAAAGACACAGAAAATTGTAGTACCAGAAGAACTATTTAATTGTGAAACCCTACACATTTTTCTTTTATCTCAATGTATTTTCCTGGAGAAATTATGACAGAGATACACTGCTCAACATTTGAAGATGGAGAAAAAGCACGAGTAACGAGGAAAGTGAAGCAGCGCTTGAGACAATCACCGTCCGCCCCTGGCAGACAAGCAGGACAAACGGCACCAGTCGCCCGCCCCAGGAGGAGAGGGAGGGGAGACGGAAGATGAACTAACCCAGCTATAGGACCAAAGGCCATTCCACTACCCAGCATGCTGCTGGCTGACATCAGGCTGAAATAAGACTGAAGGTTAACGCAGCAAAGGAAGGTCAAAGCCGATTGACCTGCCCACTTCTTAACAGAGGCCCGGCCACCTTTTGGGTGGCTATTTGATGTACACATATATTTCAATTCACTTACCTACGGATAGCTCCCTTTCCTCCTCCATTTTCACACGTAAAGGCAAATTCTCGGTGACATCCAACAACTGTGATGGAAGTGATGGGATACTCTGCGTTTCCGGAATGAATTCCTCACCACCGGAGACGAGGGTACAGGACCTAGGAACTAAAGGATCCTGACTTGTCACACTTGACCTATGACTAGAAAGTGCCTTTAATTGAGATGAACTGGATCTGTTTTTTACTGGTGGACTTGGTTGCATTGATGTTGGCAGTGTGTTTGGACTGGAGGACACTGGTGACAGAGGCAGCCGGAGCGGATTGTACGACAGGAGAGACTCGGGGCCTCGGCAGGAGAGTCGGGATTGCCTTGGGGACCCTGAATTGTTTGGGGGCAATTGAGGGAGCTTCAATGAGATTGATTCTGGGGATAACTGGGGAGATTGGGGTTGTTGTAGTAAAAGTGATGGGTGTGAGCTGCTTTGTAATGGGGTTGATTGGTACACTTGGGGCAATGAGCTTGACTTAGCAGCGCTTGGTGGTGAGACTGTGAATGTGGACCTAAGGGATATGGATGGGGAAGGGGAGAGATGGTCTTCTGGGATTGTAGGTCGGGTACTAGCCAAAGGAGACACATCAGGTGGAAATGAGTCAGGGCAGAGAGAAAATTTAGGAATCTCACCCTGCGAATGAACTAATAAGGGAGAGGACAAATGTGCTAATCCGTGTTCTGGGTTTGATTTATGGACATTTGGCTTTTGTGACATTGAGTTTGGCATCTTGATTGATGTCTTTGAAGCCCTTGGAGTCTCAGGAGTGGGGCGTGCTGACGGCTTACTTTTAGAGGACAATGCTGTGAAAAACATGAAAGACAAACAACACTCCAAATATTAGTTGATTTGTCGGCATGTGGTCACATTATGTTGTTGAAAAAACACACACACAGGGTTTATACGGGAATATGGATTACTAAATTTGTCCTTGACTGTTTTACCACTAAACTAATCAAATGTTTTCTTCTTATTTTCTAAAGTTGCCAATATTCAATACACATGATCAAATCATCTTTTGCAACCGACGTGTGTGTGTTAAAGACAACCGTGTTCTAAATCCCTCTAAGCTACAAAGCTCACCTTTTATTGAGCGTTCTGCTGGTAAAGTCCGAGGCTTGGATGAACGGGGCTGGAGAGCTGCATTGCGTTGTGCCGTTGCTTTGCACTGTGCTGCACTTGGAGAGGAGCTGCTGGCTCGTGAGGACCCAGTGGTTAAAGCTGTTTGGGGCACCGGTGCTTCCTCAATGAAGACCGGCTGAACCGAGGGAACGCTGTGTGGAAAAGAAGGCAAAAGGTCTGTGGCCTCAAAAAACTTTATGGGATATTGTTATAATTAAATATATTGGCAACTTTGTGAAAGATTAAACAGATTCAAGTGAACAAATTCCTTATTACAGACTGCCCCCCCCCCTCCTCTCCCCTTACCCTTGTTATGCACGCTGATGTGATGATACTTACCTCAGATTCCGTTGTCTCAAAGAAAACACCAAGTAACTTAAATCTAGGGTTGTTTGTTAATATACTTGCTAGTAGACAAAAAGCCTTGTTCTCTCTAATGTATTTGACACAATTAAACCTTTTCAAAAACACATTGCGAATCTGGTAAGCGCCTGTGAGGTGACAAAAGATACTTTTCTTAAAATTTGACTCACTTTCTGTTGTTGTCCGTCGTCCCTTCAGCAACTAAAACTCCCTTCACGTCTCCGTCTCGCTGTAGAAAACATAGGAAAACCGTGTCGTTGTCACATACACGAATGAGTCAAGGAGAAGAGAGATATGGAGAGAAATGACACACTTGAGTCTGTAAATCACCGTGTGCAGGTGTGTGTCTATTCCCTATTCGCCCTGTCTAGATTGAGTGTTTGTTAAAATAAAATGCTTCAGTCACTCTCACCTCATCCACGACTTCTATGAGGAGGCTCGGTTCAGGTTTGGTAATCTGAGGCCCAGTCGTGCCCCTGTTGACGGGGACTTCAAACAATAATGCACAGTAGTGGCGAAAATCCTCCTCCTGAGCTATAAATGCACAAAAACACAAAAATCAAGGAAGAACATTAGGGGAAGAGGGTTGAAATGTGCTTCAACGTCACGAACCCAGAGTAGCCTTTGTCGCGTTGCATTGACGTATTAAACATGCATACTGGTTCAATGTATCAATCAAAGGCCAAATCGAACCCCTTAGCATTCTGTTTGACCTTTTGGTTGACTGTCAGATTTAGCCGTCCAACCAACTGATCTATGAAGATTTATTACGCTTCAACTGCACTGAAGGTCAAAATCACCTCACCCTCCAAAAGGCAACTCCTCTGTGAATTTGGATTAAAAATGTAAGAGCTGTTAAATGTAATTGTTTACATTTACCAAGTCGAACATTTAAAGACATGTACACCTGAGTGTTTCCTGGCTCTCATCTCGCTTCTACCTGTGAAGAAGGTTGGACCCTTGATACCAATATTGACAAATTCCTCCCCTACATCCTCCTCCTCTAGGAATCAGAGGTCGGGGGTCGGAGCGGCACACTTTGGTCTGTATTCATTCATCATTTGTTTCAGTTGAAAGATGTTGCTGACACAGCAGGGAATGAACAGCAGTTTCCCTTCTAGTCACACAACCGTGACAACCTGTGTGCACGTACTGATATAGAATATCTACAGTTAATTTCAGCTCATACGGTTGTTTAATCATCAGTTCATAAGGAGCAACATCAAGGATCATTTATTGTCATTATGCAACACAAGGATGCACAGCGGTATTCAGTTGTAGCCTATTTGTAACACAACAAACACAAAAAAATGGCATATAGCTGTTATATATACCTTGAAAGGCATTCAATATTCAAAATATTACTTAATATATGATATTTCTCTTTTTCTGGAAATGTCTTTTTTTGCCTTCATTTGAGGTTCTTTCAATGTGTTTCTTTGCATCAATGTTTTATCACTGCAGGTTTTCTGCCTGTGCCGCCTCACTAGCTCTCTCACTGTCTCATGCTAACAATCCTTCCATGACATCTCCACGTGGGTCTGACAGCTTGGGAAAATTAGATTCTAAAACAAGGGAGAGGTCCCACATGATGCCATGAAAACTGCCATTAATAATTCATCGACAAACACGTCGGGCACTCTTTCATTTTCAAAGAGAGAAAGGAGGAGAAACTCTGCAACCGATTGTCATCGGCAGGCGTTGGTAAAAGCTTGAAGCAGGTGGAAGGAATGGTTTATCAGCCACTCAACAGCCCCGCCCTGATGTCTTCATCACATCTGCATGTTGCTGAAACGATGGGGAAATGAATTATTAAAGCGAGGCAGAGACATGAAATGCATGACGACAACACAGTCCACCGTGGGTCGGCGTCACAGCAGTAATCGCTGTATGAGTGATGTGTTTAGCCAGTGGGACGCACACATGATGGGACACACACGATACTCAGGATGCCGGTTGCATCCCAAGTATCCAGGAAAGCACTATATCGATGTCGCCTTTGGGGTGAAACGATACTTAAAACGATGCCCAGCTCCTCATGCGTTTGTGTGAGAAAGATTGTTTTAAATGTTGCTGTAAGGAAAATAGTCCAACTTTGGCTGCAGGTGGATTTGAAAGACTTATATGGGTTTCATTTGTAGCTTTTGATACAACCCCTCTAAAATGCATGGCAAAGGTTGACACAACAAATTGGCAACTTTCAGGGTTAATTTGGGGTTGATAAGAATTTTGTAATTAAGAAAATTGGGTAAGCGATGAAGGTTGAGAAACCCTCATTTGAGAAGCATTTTCTACTAAATTCTAGAAATAGAAATAGCTTTCTAAGCAGTATGAATTATCTTCTTCTTATTCTTTATTATTATTATTATTCTTCATGGGTTTTGTGTTTGCATAAATAAAACAAGTTCAGACTACATTTACATACACAAGAGATTCCGTGTTTTATATCTAGAATGGGATTTAAAAAAGGGCAAGCTAAGGTTGAACGGTGGGTCTTCTCAAAGATGTGAACAAGCAAGTACCAGAAGGGAGAAAAGTACAAAGCTGCCTTTCCATAAAAGTTGTAATACTTAGGAGACAGGAGCTGTTTTCACGCTGTGTAGTGTTTCTTTTAAAACTGCATCTCTGATTTATTAGATTGAGCACAGCAAAGAGCTACAAGAGATATTGTTAATTCATTACACCGCAGCAGTGCCCATTCAAAAGGCGCCTGCTGGGAACGAGTTGACTCTTTGGCCTCCTGTATTGCTCCTCGCAGCTTTCTCGAGAATCGCTCATCCAAACAACGTTACATGACACAGAAGCATCCCGTCCTGATGCTGCATACGTGTCCTTTGAGGAGGGGTGGGGGGGGCTTCAAACCAAAGTTGGCGGTGTGACAGCTGTAGCCAGCCAGCTTTCCGACGGTGTAACAGTTAATAATGCAACAAGCAACGGCGAGCCAGCTCCACCCAGAGTGCGGTTTGGACGTGGAACAGTTATACTGTAAGGCTCTACAGAGCCCCAGCTGCACCCAGCATGCCATCCTGGTAGGGGTCTCCTCTCAAAACTCTCAAAACTACACATCACACACACTATTGATGAATATGTCCCACTGATTTCAACTTCTCTAACTCAACACTGCACTACTTACTCAATACTGCACTACTTTGGGTCCCAAGCAATACACCAAGTGTGAAGGTAATGGGATGGGCGATTGTACAGACATACAAATAGAATTCCTTCCATTAACCTTCCATATTAACCTTAAAACTCTTAAGCTTTACTGTGTCAAATGTGGGTGGTTGCCTCGTCTATGGGGAGCACAGGAAACCATTTTAACCTCCTACATTTTGATAAAAATAACACTTAGACACATAGATATTTGGCATGGACAGCTATGTGGACTTGCAGATCCTAACAAGGTTGGCATTGAAGTGGATCTTGATTGATGTGACGAGCGGCAGTGGATCCGCCCCCGGGTCCGCAGGTTTCGAAAGGGGAGAGATAACCGCGGTCCACCCCGTCTTCTGACAGCCTCGGCTGGGGGCCAGAGAGCAGGCACCATCCCCTGACTGATGAGCTCCAGGCCCCCCGAGCTCCAGACTACGGACAACCCGCCCCCTCTGCCCCATCCCTTTCCCAGGCAGAGTGCAACCTGTCAGGCATGAGCCGCCTCTAACGGCCCTCTGCCCACACAATCACAGCCAGTGATTACCCATCACACCGCCACGGATGGATGGGCAGGCACTGATACGTCCGACCCGCTGAGAGTGAGAGTTTTTTTTTTACTTTTTGCTATTGTGCGTTTGTATATTTGTGTCTGTGTGTGAGTGTGCAGGTCAACCGGCAAACTACTCAGTCCGTGGCTGATTCTTTGTTTGGTCTAACAGCCTGTTTGGGTATGTATATCAGAAGGTTGTGTGTGTGTATCACCTGTTAGGCCGCTTGCAGTCTCTTCACCAGTGTTTGCTTCAGGCAGTAATTTTAAATCTGCACCAAAGGCCAACAATGGATGATCATTTTCAACCGGTGTTCTAGAAACAAAACAAAAAAAATGTCATATTAAGGAATAAGTACTAGATGAAGAAAAATAAAAGATGAACCTCATACGCTGTGGGACAGACCCCAGGCAAAAAGTAATTGGCTTATGCATCCTTTTTTCAACTTCTTTATCACGAAACCTGGATCGTTAAATGGATAGATGGACATGAATGTTCTCTTCATCATTCTGCTGTATCCCCTCATAAAAAGGCCTTCACATAGTCTATCTGTATCCCCCCCCTTACCTCTATCCCCACCTCCCTAGTCTATTAAAGTTCAATGCCAGTGGAAGAGACTTGGCTCTGCATTAGATGAGACTTTTAGTTCATATCTTTTCCTCTTACTTAGTCCGCATCTTCAAACTTGGCAATTTGATGTCTTATGAATGAATTATGGGTTCTATTTCACCCTGTCCCTCACATTAGACCATGCACCCATCTACCTTTCCACTCACATAGAGTAGCTCTACTCGCCTACGGCTGTTTACATTCACGCTGCCCAAAGACAAGAGAGGAAGCATGTCTGCTCTTTTGGGTTCTTAGGTCTTGCATTTTCACCTCACAGTGGAGATACATTGACCTTCAACTAATTCAGCCGGGTTTATGTATCCAGAAGCAAAACCTCTAGTGTTCTTGTGTCAGGATTTGAAATCCCTACTAAATTAGCCTTTAAGAAAGAGCGAGATGAGTTTCCCCAAAGTGATTCAAACAGTTATTCATAAGTGTCTCTATAAACCACAATGCCATAGACAAGAGAAAAAGTACTGTAGTATTGTGCGACTGGGAGGTGAGACACAGCAAGTCATGTATTGGATAATAGTCAATGAAATTTTTTTTAAAAAGAGAACATACTTCATTTTGGTTTAAGCAATGTCCCTTAGACTAATGTAAATACAATTGGTGGATGTCCTCTGCAATAAAGCAGAGTTTAAGCAAGAGATATTTGATAGCAATTCGCCCTTTAAGAGGACTATTTATTGTTGCTTTATTTGCATTGGGGACAGCGGCCTTCAATCAAAGTTGGCACGCGTTCCAAAAGTCAGTACATCTATCGGAGGTGAAACTCTCCATGACTCTATTTTAGTCCTAGAAGCTAAAACTTGACTTGGTGCTCTTATTTCAGAACCTTGTTGAGAGTTTACAGACAGAGAAAATAAACAGAAAGTCTCTTTGCGCTGTGAGTTATAAGAGTTGTTTTGTGGCAAACATAACAAGGATTTTCTCTGTTTTTAAACGAATAAACTACTGGGTGCTTACTCCAGTCTTACACAGACATGGAAAAACATCCCGACCTAATTGGAGAATGATAAACCAATAATAGCTCTACGCCACTTGTTTGTGTTCTGTGCAGGTATATAGGTCACCACCTAATATAGTGGCTCTATGATTACTTCATTTTACATTAACAAAGACTATTTATGAGCCAAAAGTAAAAATGTACACCTTGTAGATGATCTTTACTTTAAAAAGTTGATGGGAGGACAAACCCGCAGTGACCACTCAGGAAACCAGATCGACCCAAAAAACAAACCAGGTGATCTCTGAGCGCTTTGAGCAAATTCTTCAAGAGGTTGGGAAAAAAATCCTTCCTCCTTCCAATACTCCCTTCTTCCCTCACTTTTTCCCCCCTATTATTATTGAGTCTTGTTAAAATTCAGCCTCCCACTTCTTTCTGCCAGACAGCCAGTCTCTCTGTCTCTCCATTAAGCTCTGCCACCATCACCGCTGCAGGCTTATTGCACTCTAGATTGGCTCTCTAGTCTATTTCACAGTTAAAAGCTGCTACAGCAGGGGACTTAGAGTGTTCCAGCTCAGGCAGTCACCGGGCCAAGAACTGCACTCGGCGCTCCCCTCCTCTGGCCCGCTCTCCAGTGGGCAACTCAGCCCAAAAGGAGCCGCTTAAATAAAGGGCTGTAATAATGGGACCTGCTGAAGCCAGGCCCTCGGGCGGCCTACGGCACAATAAGTGCCGAGAAACTGCTTTGTACACCGGTGGCTTATAGGCTGCCTGCAGAGCGTCAGGAGAGGAGATGTGCGATGTTAAAACTGCACGTGTGAATCTACCTGTGTCCCACGTAAAGGAAGTGGAAACACAGAGTAGATTTGTGAGAAGCGAGAAGGAGAGCTGGTGAAAGCTGTGTGTGTGTGTGTGTGTGTGTGTGCGTATGTGGGCTGTGTCGTTGTCCCGATTTCCCCAGCTGGACAAAGAGCGACGTCATCAAGCTTTCACAAAGTCAACTCTGTGTGCACCTGCGTACTGTAATGGCCTGACGTTCACAGGCGCGTGTAGACCATAAAACAATGATGAGGAATTGTCTGAAAGATTTAGTAAACAAAGTCAAATGGAAGCCAAAGCTTCTCGGAAACATACTGCAAGTATACAGTAACAAATGTAGTATTTTTCACGCTAAAAAATGTATAAAGTTCCAACCACACGTCGACAATTAAAACCGCTTTTGGCACTAAATTACGTAATTTACCACAAGACATCAGAGTCTAAACTCAACATCGTAAAAATTACCCCTCACCGCTTAGTACCCTTTAAAACTGTAATAAATAATAAGGACATCACGGGACAGCAGGGACGAAGCAAGGACTTGTTTGTGATATTTCTTCATTCACAGTTCATCGAAAGAGGACGAGCACAACTAACCTTTGAGTTTCACGTTCCCTAAAACGTGGAATAGATGCAGTGTCGACACTTTAGAGAGAAGGTGTCAATGCCTATTGTTACTCAGTATGAACAATAGGAGGTATTTACTACCTAGTGTGTGTAAAATGATTCACATATATGATAATTCTACGGCAGCAATAGCAAATGTCCAAACTGTAAAATGCATGATGAACACAGATGTCCAAACATCGTGTTGAACGTTACTTAGCCACCACAATTATGTAATTACCGTATTTTCCACACTCCAAGGCGCACTTAAAAGCCTTTAATTTTCTCAAAAAACGACCCTGCGCCTTATAATCCGGAGCGCCTTATGTATGGCTCAATTGGTTAGCTGGTAGATCCATACTGGTTGTACACGGCGCTCAAGGCGCTCTGCCAAACATGCCAAAGCTCGGTCTACGACGGCGAGATGCTGAGCGGCGCTCAAGTGCGTGAGATATGGAGCTGCTTTCAGGGCGCGTCGGAGAAACAAAGCTGTCGTTCTTGCAGAGAACTTCATGAGATTAAAGAGCGAGAGACGGCGCCCTTTTCTCTACAGTAGCTGAACCATCTTAACGGGGAAAATAAGTTATTCTAAAGGCTGGCGCGTGCTTCTGCGTCTGCGTCGTTGCGTCGACGCACTTGTTTCAATTCATGGTTCTAAAAGTCTTGCGTGTGTTGCAGAGCAAATCACCGCCAGAACAACAGGTGGAGTAACGTGTTTCTGTTGAAGACGAGCCACGTCTTTGTGTGTGGAAGTCGATGGTTTGTTTATTTATGTATCATAGACTTTATTGCCCCGTGCATCGCCACTGCTGCTTTTCAGCACATTTTTCCCGTATTTTCCTCCACAACTTTGTTCCTCTCGACCGGCCAATGACGGTTTGTATAAGCGGTCATATTTACGCATTTCTTTCCGACAAAAGCTCGTCAATCTGATCTGTTCTCTCGTAAACATTTTTCGTTTTATTAATGGCGGTAGTGTGCTATGAACCTCGCAGCATCGATCGGACCCTGAAAGCACCGTCTCCACCAAACCAACGGGGAAAATAAGTTATTCTAAAAGGGGCCCTTGGCAGGCGGCGTGGCTGGAGAGCAGCCGAAGATTTAAGGCGTGTGTAAGCTGTTGTTGCACAGGTGTTCCGGTGTGGGGGCTTTTGTTGTGAAGGGGGAGACGGAAGGAGAGGAAGTTGAGGTGGTGTTCAACTGGGGGTGTGGTGAAAAGCGTGATAAAAATAAAGTTGAATAAAGTTCTAAAATAGGTCATTCGTTGAAGGTGCGCCTTATAATCCGGTGCGCCATATAGTGCGGAAAATACGGTACACAACTGTGAGTTACCTCCTTTTTGAAAAGCAAATCATTATTCTGTACAAAACAGTCATGTTGTCAGGTATAATGATTAATGGAGTAGCACAGCCTCTCGCCGCTGTAGAATATGTATGTGTGGTCATGCACGCTCTTCCCCCCATCTGTGTACCTGAGAAGCTTCTTGAGAAGCAATCTGTCCATGTAGGTGAGGCTGTTCTCTGTGAACTCCACCCTGACAGGAACCTTCTCTTCCCCCACTCCTCTTCCTCGTCCTGCAGCTCCTCCGCCTGGAGAGAAGTCAGCCTGGGTCGCCATAACTGCCACAGATACTGGACAAATACGTGGAAGGGGGGATAGCACAGAAATGGAGTTAATAGAGGGAGGAGGAAAATACAGCTTTACAGAAAGAAGAAGCCAGACAGAGGCAGAAATAGGAACGGGAAAACATCCTTTGGCAGCATCTCAACACCTTTCTCAAAACACCTCCCCTCATGAAGTGAGAAAACACCTTGTCACCACGCCAACAGTGCCGAAACACAAACAGACAAGAGAGAGCCCCCGGGGAATAGAAAAAGAAGTACAAGATACAAAAGCACAGGGTACGTACACGACAGAAAAGGAAAGATAGAGGTAAGAAAGAGAAATGTATGATTGTGCTCCAGACACTCTGGCAGTCCACAGTGGCGCCTTTAAATTGGGCCTAGGTGCCATTGGCCTGACAGAAATAATTAGGGCTGGAGGGGCGAGCAGTAATTTGCAGCGCAGAGTGAAGGCAGAGAGGAGCAGAGTCTGTCCAAGCAGTAAAGCAGAGAAAATAGGAGGCCTAATGAAAAGCACAAACACCTACACACATACACACAGAACCTTGAATAATAGCACTAATAACACACACACACACACACACACACACACACCCATAAACCTGGACAGGATGACAACGTGGCAGTGCACACACACACACACACACACACACACACACGTAGAAACACAGTGTGTGTGGAAAAGCCATAAAAATTGCCTGACCCAGTGGACCTTGTACACACATGCACACACAGCAGGCGGTTAGTGCTGTGGTGGGGAGTAGGCCGCCCCTAACACTCTCTCATTATCTCAATATGCAACAGGCATGGATTAGCCTCCTACTGCAGCGGTAAGCACTTTCTACGGGGATCACAGCCGGGACAGGGAGACGGGGAGAAGGAAAGCTCGGGAGTCGGTGAAAATGGAAGAGATGGAGGAGAGCGGGGCGAGAGGAGGAGTCAAGAAGAGAAGGAAGTACAGGCACAGGGGGAACAAAATATTAAACCATTTGGTCAAGTACTTCTGTACATGTACATTGAATTTTTAGGTCTGGTAACTAACTTAGGTTTTTTCTTTTGGCAGGGACACACAATGGTATAATTCATACTCTGAAGTTATGAACTAAAGCATGTTTTTAATGCAGAGCTTGGACTTTAAACTGAGTGGGGTTTGCCGCTTTCACTGAAAGGTCTAATCAATATTTTATGCTCTGCTATGCTCAACTCTCTGGCGATACATTTGACAAGAGGGGTGATTAGATACTCCGCTGTTGTCTCAGCTCAAGTTCAACATCATGGAGAAAAGGGGAAGGGAAGTTATTTATGGGAAGCATAGAAATAGAACGAGAGTAGAACGGAGATTGCCATTCGGATCAACAGAGCAGGATGGACAAAGCCGTTTCATGTGTGCCGTTGCCACGGTTGCAACAGGTTTACTCATTCTATTTCTATAGTAAATCCAACCGTGTATATGCACTTCACCTGGTCGGATGGGTGTCCACATTGCATCCTCGCGCATGGATTCTCCTGATCCATCAGTCTTCTCTCCTCTCCAGTGCCGCAGAGCTTCCTGGAACGAACTTGCAGACTCCACCTCATTGTACTCTCCTTCAAGGAAAGACATTTTCGGCCCTTCTTCACTCATTTCCACCTTTTTCTCCTCTTCATGATCCTCAATCGACACCTGTAAAAAAACAGGAGATCCCTGGACTTAAGTTAGTCATGGATGGCCAAAATATGATTTGGCTAAGAAGCTTCTCTCCTGCATGAGCATATAATCTGTCAAGTTAATTGCTGCAATAAATCAAACACCAGTCAGCCAAATCTGCCTTACAATATAAAACAAAAAACACCCTCATTTGAATACCTGTTTATCTTACCTTTTAGAATGACTAGAATTTCATTTCTTGAAATAACTGAAAGGACATTTAATTAGATTTTAAATGCTGCAGGAGCTCGATTCCTCTGGCAACGAAAAGCAGCTCTTTAAAGTTTACAACATGCAAGCTCGGCTGTGACCTTGGCTAAACCTTTGTTGAGACACCATTAAAAAGTGAATGAGTAAATTTTCTAGAGAAAATCTCTCTTCATCTTTGACCTTTAAAACGTAGCTTGGTTGGAATGAACATAGATTTATGTTTATTAATTTTCTGAATGCAGTCCCTACTCTTACAGCTCAAGAAATTGTGGTTCTGCATATATAAAATATGTATGTATATATGGCGAGTATACAGTACCAATCAAAATTGTGGACACATTTCCGCATTAAATTCAATGAAAAGGTGTGACTGAACTTTTGACTAGTACTGTACACATTTACTGTTTATATACTTTTGCGTAATTTTGCCATTTTACGTTTATTTTCAGAAGCTAAACATGTTAACTTCCCTCAGACAGCTGTTGTATTTGTTTCTCTGTTTGGTGGTGTTTTGGTCCACTCTGAATAGGTCAGGTGAACACCAGTTTGACAGACACGATACAGCGATCTTCTCGATATCTTCTGGTCCCTGCTGTGAGAGTAAAAGCAACCGAGTTCTGTGATGTAAAGAGTCTGAAACGTCAATCTAACTGTTTCCGCCAGACTTATACCCTTGGGGGGGGGGGTTGTCCTAAGGTGCTTACAGTTCAGAAGCATGCCTGTAGATACAGCCTGTGGCTATGGCATCAATTAGGGTTGGTTTGAAGGCTTTTCAATTGACCCCCAGGGTGTAGAGGTAAAACTCACATGGTGCAAAGGCTTGTTCGACATGTTTCTGCTGAGGTGTCACAGCGAGTGAACTATAAAGGGAGAGAAATTTCCTCCATGGATCAATAACCACTTCACAAAACTGCCTTTTCCAAATATTATTGTTGGTAAAAGGAGATTTTGTTATGGATTGTCTTAAAAGGGTTTAAAAATGAAACCGTGTTGACAAAAAACATACTTGTTATTGCAAAATATGCCTATACAGTAATCATTATTATTAACATTACATTACATGTCATTTAGCAGACGCTTTTATCCAAAGCGACTTACATTACACTTTAAACCCATGGCTTTTTCACATTTTTGCCTGGGGAGCAATTAGGGGTTAGGTGTCTTGCTCAGGGACACTTCGACATGGAACATGGGGCAGCCTGGAATCGAACCACCAACCTTGTGCTTCCCAGCACACCTTCTCTAAACCCTGCGCCATGACGACCCCGGTCGGGGGTCATTAACGATTCCACACTGTTCTAAATCAGCAATCAATTATAAATTTGATTTGCTTTGACTTGAGGTCCCAGTCCACATTGACTTCCTGTTGTCATAAAATAACAATGCAACAAAGCACAGGTTGCAAGTCCACTGTCATTGCAAAGAATCTTCCAGTAACAATGATGACTCATCTTGTTATTATTAACAATTATCAATAAGAAAAATGTAAGCCTCGCTACCTTCCTTCATTTTACTCATAAAGTCAATACAATAAACTACACTTTGCTTGTTGTTGAGATGCAACTTCTTTGCTAAATAATTTGCATCTCAACAACTTAGCACTTGATCATCTTGAGCACCTGTTGAAGTGTGTATTATTAAATAACATTACTACCTACCTGGCTGCGATCAGAGTGCAGTTGCATAGGTTTTGCCCCGACAGGACCGGCACAGGTAGTGGGACAGGAGGTCGGATTAGTCTGTTTCTGGAAGCAGGTGACAACATCTCTTGTGCTCACATGAGTCTGTAAGTCTGTCTGGAGAAGAACGCCATCGTACATGAGATACAATCAGCAGGGTTGTAACTCAACAAAAAGGCAGCGGCTGGAACTTTGTGCAACAGACATGATACATTTGATATTAAGTATACAAAACACAAACAAAAATGATGATAACAATGATAACTTGCTTTCATTGCATTTCATGTTATAATACTGCATGAAATAAGTAGTCAGTTTTTTATCAAAACTGTATTTTGGTATAGACATGGTAGCAATAAGATTGAGAGGGTAGACAATCAATTCATATATTTTCATTTAAGTATATTACTGCATTTACTCTAACGATGTAAAGGCAATGATTTGACACTATAGGCAGCTGCCATGAACCCCATTTGGAGGGTACAACCTGATTATCTTAAGTGCTCAGACCTACATCACGAGCACAACCTTGAAAGTCAAAATGATGAGCTCAATACTCTACAGTTAATGTAAGCAGCTTTATTTTATGCAAAGGAAACCTCAAAGAGCCTGTGCAGACAGACATCACGCTTTATGTATATTGCCTTTACTTCCCATTCTAACCAAGAAGCAATATGGATCTATTGTCCAACTAATGTCCAGTAACGGGTCACAAATGCCCAAAGCCTCGAAAAAAGAAAAAACATTTACAGAATGCGATCCGATACTTTTAGACTTTCATTCTTTTAGACGGAGAGAAAATGGGAAGCACACTGAATGAGTGCTGATTGATTTTCTCCATTCCACAGCCTGAATTCATTATTCTGTTCCATTAATCACTGGGGACCAGCGGGGCTGCTGAGGTTAACCAGTCTGCAGACTTTTATCCTGTCCTTGAAGGCGTCCAACAAGGACGCAGAAACAAACGTGTGAGGGAATAGTGCCGGTACTGAGACCCAGAGAGCTTGGGAAAGACGAAATTCAGACGAGGCGAGGAAGCTATATAGTATAATTTTGCTCGTTTTATGATTTTATTGCTGGCCGTGTAGCACCTTCACGGAGATTCACATTGCCGGCCGAGATCTTTCCAGTTTCTGCATCAGCCTATTGAGCACAGACAAACTTTATAGAATCACTAACACTAGAAACACAATAAAATTGGTCTTATGAGCCCGTTTTGGCCCAGGCACTTTCACCCGTGTCACCCCAACTTTTAGCTTGTGGCCGCGATAGGTCTAATATGCACGCCTGCCACAGTAGAAGGAGGCTTTTCTTGCATAAGATCCTTTTGCACCCGACACCTTTCTCCCACAGGACAGGAGCACGATGATATGTTTGTTGTCTCGTGGTGGGAGAGCTTTGTTTACGCCTGTGAGATAGTCAGCATCTGGCCTTCAACACTTCAATGTGGTAATAATGTTGTTGTGGATAGATGAATCCGTGCACGCCCAATCTGGCAGAAACAGAGACTTGTTATTGGTTTGAAATATCTCTGGTCTCTTTGGCGATGAAGGCTCGGTTTAGTTCATTCAATGATACTCTATCCGTGTGTTGAATTAGTTCATTCAGCGCCTCGTGGGAGAGAACTCGCCTATGGCCATGAAATCTTTAAGAATCAAATCTTTGTCTGCAAACAACCCCTCAGGCCCGGGGACATTACTTTTACTCATCTTAACAGCTTGTGATGGAAAATCTTTGCATTGCAAGAGGCTCCAAGTGGCGACACTGCTGAATCTTTCTGCTCAGTTCCTCTCTCTCTGCTGCCATATTAGTCACCAGCAAACCGTGCACACGTTTGCAGGTCAATGGTCAACTCAGGCCTTAGTATGCCTCACACCAATAGATCCTTCTGCTCCTTTAACACAGCTGGAATAAACTTGAAGATTTAAGACTTGCCCCAACTGTGACTACGTTTAAAACAAGACTGAAAACTTTTATGTTCAGCTTCGCCTTCTGCTAAATTTTACCTACATTGCACTTTTAACTTCTGCCTTTAATTAAACAATTTAAATAAGATTTTAATTTATAATTTTATTTGCTGTTTTTAATTGTCTTTTAATTCCTGCATTTTATTTCACTTTATCGTATGAAATGTTATGATGTGAAGCACTTTGAGTCTGCCTTGTGTATGAAAAGCGCTATACAAATAAAATTGCCTTGCCTTGCCTTGCCTTGCCTTTAAACAGTGCTGCATAGCGCCTAACCACTCCTTCGTACGCAATACAAGAGTATAACCTTCCCGCTCAAGCTCTCTTTTTTTTTTCGCGTGTGTGTACTAACCAATTTCAACACAATGATTGCTACCAGGAGACACTATCCAAATTGGACATATTACACGTCTGAGAAATTGGCCAGAAGATAAATGAAAGGTTGCTGTTACACTGACAACGACCCACACATTTGGCCATTACCTCAGACCCATGCAGTAGATGGCAGCACCGGGGATTCGCTTTAAAACACCAGTATTTGGTCGACAAAAAGTGTGTCACATTGTTGTGTCCGGTATTGTGGACACAAACCCGTCTGAGCCTTAATTACAGACCTCAGACTGGACATACAGTGCAGCATCACACTCGCACACTTCACAATCATCAAAGGCTTCCATAATTAGACTAATGAGCAGAGAAATCCCAACTCCCTGCATCCATATCAAATGGAAGGTGTGCAAACAGAGATTGTCTTGCAGCCGGGGAATCTACCGTGATAGACCATCTCGAGAATGCTGCCAGGCAGTTGAAGCAGCTCCGTTATCTTGGCTTTTTACGGCAGAGGAAGGAAAAAACATTTTCCCAAAAGGGAAATACATCGCAGGCTTTATGCTTATCATGCGTTCATCTATAGAGTGCAAAGGTGAGAGGGAGAAATAGTGCCATAAAACATGAAGACGTTAATTAAAAACTTGAATTATATACATTGTATAATATATGCTAATGTGATTTTGAATTATTTCTGTATGATGTCGGAAGGTTTTGACACAGCACAGCACACCCGGTTAGGCCAAATCAAATACCAAGGATGCGCTGCAAACATTAATTAAACCAACATGTTTGTGCACATTTATCTGCATGCCTCTGTGTGTGTGTGTGTGTGTGTGTGTGTGTGTGTGTGTGAGAGAAGCTGGAAACATTAGCTGATGAGGCACAGACAAAAAGACCAGCACAGCATACTGAAGAAATTAATATTCTTTTTTTGTCTTTCTGACTCATTCAATGTCCCTCTCTCCCTCCTTCCCTCAGTCTCCAGAGCAATCGAAACAGGATTAACAGAGGAGGGAGGGCGAGAGAGAGAGAGGGAGGGAGAGCCTGTGTCAGCTGCATGTGTGTAGAGTAATCTCCTGTTTTAGTGTCCAATGTGCGATTTAATAAGAGAATGCATGTGTATGCGTTTGAAACGGGAGTGAGCGTCCATCCGAGCATCACTGGGTCCGTGAAGTTAGGAGAGACACGATGCAGAGGTCTAGTGAGCGTTGTTTTTGCAGAGTTGCTTCAATGCGTGTGTTTTTTTTCCTTATCACTTCCTTCCCCCACGGTTTCCTTTAACATACTTTGACCCGAGCAGCAGTCAGTCATGGAAATAAGAAGCAAACAAAGACATGTGTACGTAAGCAGAGCTACACTGCATAAAGGCTGGTTAATAGTGTGCTACTCTGTATGCAAAAGCTACTTTGCAGTACATTATGGATTGTACACAAATATAAAAGAAGATGTGACGCCATATGGATGCGCATCACATCTCATCACAAAGCCCACTCAGACAACAGTCAATCTCTTGTGAGTACCTCGAGATGAAAACCAGAGGACCCAAGAAAACAATCGCATGAGAAGAAGCGAGCGAAATTACAAGCACCCTCGGGAAGAAGTAGTACGGCAAACAGAAAACAAGATGTTCACAGGCCAAGAGTACATGAAGTAACTAAAGTAAAACACATATCACGTACATAGAAACAGCCTCCGTTCATTATAAGAACAAAGTACAACAATTCAGACTTCAAAGATACATATCAGTAGCGCAGGTGATAAGCAGAGACCTTTTAAAAAGGTTATCTAGTCATGTGCATGAGCTCAGCTAATGAGTCCGCTTGGTAAATGACGGAGAACATAAAGGCTTCGTCTCACAACCAATCGCATCACGGCAGTTATGTGCAGCAGTGGACCTGACAACGCGTCGGCAAGCGAGACAGGCCTCAGGAACAATGTTAACGAATGAGTCCATTTGAGGAGCAATTGTTTTAAGAAAATCCTCCATTTAAAAGGAGCAAATTAGGTCGCTTAAGGTCTTGGTTGGTTAAAGATCTCAAGCGACAGGCAATGAATTGCGCAGGAAGGAAAGAAAAAAAAGAGCGTTGCCTGCTTAACACTCAATTTCAAATTAGACATAATTAATTACATTTATCGGCACACTATGTCTATTATGAGTATTTGGTATCTTTTTTGGGGGAAATTAGTTTCCACTTAAAAAAAATGCTTTCAATACAAATTTGGTTGAATAGGATATTACCTAATTAATACAAGTTATTGTTAGTGTGTGTTTGTGTGTGTATGCATATAAGTGACCAGAATTAGCTTTTGTGATCAAGACATTTGCTAATGAGGGACATCCATTTCGTTATCAGGTACGACACAGCAAACTTGCAACACTGCAAACCAGAGACTCTGCGCGTGCAGCGCCGCCTTCAAGTTCATTGTATGTGCGTGGGTGTTTAGGTGTGTGTGTGTGTGTGTGTGTGTGTGTGTGTGTGTGTGTGTGGGGAATGTACATGTACGTGAGATGGGCTGCAGAAGCAAAGGAAAGGGGGAGAGCTTGAGATGAGAAGGTACTATAGTCAGGGATGCAAGAAATGCAAAAGAAGCACTAGCAGAATGGGATCAGGAGACATATTATTGAAAGTATCGGTGCAAGAGGAAGAAGGACAGCGAGAAGCAGCCCGTCATAGAGGAGAGGAGATGGACGTAATGCCTGTGGGACCACGCTTACCTGAATGGGGATCATCCTGTGGAGCTTCAGTGCTCCCTTCTGGTGGAATTTGGTGAAGCAGCCGATGCAGTAGTCCTCCGCGCATTCAGCACACGTCTACAACACAGAGAGACACAGTGACGTCTGCAGGTGTGTGTGTGTGTGTGTGTGTGTGTGTGTCAGTGTAAACATCCGTGAACAGTATGTTTATGTGAGTTATAATATAACTGATGAGCAGTATTTGTGACTTGTATTTGAAGTCGGATTATCCTCCCTTTTCTTCCGACGCCAACCTCGCCAAACTGGGTTCTGTGTTTAAGTGCGTGTGTGCGCGTGTGACATTTCCCTATATTGCGTTAGCTGTAGTGTCAGACGCATCAGATCGTAGAAGTTCACTCAACACAACACCTGCTCCTACACCTAACTAGGTGAACTGCTCTGCGTTTGAGGTACCGATGTGCGTGACTCGTGAAATGCTTCAATATCTATGTGCATGCGTGCATGAGAGAGAGAGGAATGTAGGGAGTATGTGTCGTAAGTGTGTGTGAGAAGTGTGTATGTGAGTGTGAGTGAGTGAGTGAAGGCATCTTAAGGGAGGTCATTATCATTCCATTCTATGAGATTCTGGTCTTATTAGCGGGGAAAAGACCTTGCGTCAGCCAGTTGGGGAAAAAGGTCTGAACCAGGTGGAAGGAGCACAGCGGCAAGGCCAGGAGGACGCAGTGAATGAGAAGTGAGGATATGTGCAAGGGCATAACTAGTTTGTTTCCCATTATTTAAGACACAGTGGACAATCATAGCAGAGTAATGGCCAACTCTGTACCAGCGTCCTACAAGTATGGGCTTATGTCTAAGCCCTAACATCCTTGTTCTATTCAAGCACATGATGTAGAGCCTTTTTCCACTGCTCTTTGACACCTTTACGGAGTAGCAACACTGTTCTCTTCTTTTTGTCTCATCTTCAGCCCCTTCCACTTCCAGTGTGTGTCTGTGTGTGTCCGTGGATCCAATCACATGCAAGCCTAAAGCTGCGACACTGCCCTTTAATGGCCCCCTAAAGCAGGGCCTTATTTCCCCTCTCAGGCCTGAGGATAAATTACAGCCACTCCCCTGGGACTCGGAGTCCCTATCAGGCAGCGGGCAGAATCTCACCGCGCCCTCCTGTGCTACACAACGAAATGAGGTCTTTTGGGTTTTTTTGCCCGGATGCCTCTGAAATACAGAGCAAGGAAAGGCAGTGCTGTGTCTGGATGCGTGCATGTGTAATTTTATGGTACAAGTATGTACCACCATGTGAGTCATAGTTCAAAATAAGCTCAGATGTGCTTTGGTGTGTGTACGTAGTGTGCCAAGGCATTTTTAGACAGGATGACAAAGCCAAAACGCTTTTCATTATTGACATCATTATAAAGCGATATAAAACCTGTGAGTGTGTTGATTGTGTTTGCACAGACTACTATAAACATTTCCATTAAGTCTATCACATTTGGGGGAATTGTGCCCTTCATCGGACAATTCTGCGGCCGTATCCTCAAATGCACCATCAAGCCAATGAGCAATTTACATTTGAGCAACAAAACGGTAAAGAATTGTAGGCTGCCAGTTCTATGAGTTCAGCCCCTCCCACTTTTTCAATCCATCTCTCTCTCACTGCCTCTTAGAATCATCAGGGATTCGACACTAAACTTTCGGCTTTCCAGACCAAAATAAGAGCGAAATAACTTGAGCGAGTCGCTGAGGATCTAGAACAGAGGGATGTGGGGATGACTGGTCTTCAACAGCACTCAGCTCACTTTGCCACTGTCCTTACAAACAGACATGCATAGATACACAATATGGCTTTTCATTTATCTGTCTCTCGCTCTTGATGACATATATAATTGAAGGCCAAGGCCCTGCTCCTGAGCAACAATGATGAAGAGTGAGAAACAATAAACAACGGTGGCCTCGGAGGACTTGGGTATCGATGAGTGGATCGAGCTAAACTGTTATCAGTGCAAACACACAGACAGACCAGTAGATAGGAGGACAGCAGGGTCTGCAGAGGGAAAGGCAACAACAGGCAGAGATATAGAAGGGAGAAAAATGTAGAAGGATGAGCTGGGAAAGTAGAGAAAGAAAGACATGCGATGCAGAGAAAAAAAGAGATAGATAGAGATAAGAGATGATGAAGGTGGAAGAGGAGAATAGAAATATGGAAAGAAAAGAACAGATGGAGAGTGATGGACAGGAAGGAACAAAGACAGAGATGGCGAGAGAAAGAATGAGTTGTAGCTATAGGTATAAGTCATGTAACTCTTAATCTACGGCCCGATATAAACATCTCTGTAGATTCATTAAAGTAAAAAATATGTCTAGTTATACATGCATTTCCATAAAGTTAACAGAATTACATAGCTTCTCTAATCTGTTTAATCTCAATCAATGTGGAAATTCCACAGTACTAAGCACCTGTGCAGCTGTTACTACGCATGCCTATTGTGCATTTTATATCACATGTATCTGTTAATGTCTCATTGTTAAACATCACAATAATGTTGGTTAACTCCTAGGAATTATATTGAATCTTAACAAAGTGCTTCATAATTTACGATACCATAACATAATTTACAGGTCAAGGATGGTAAATATCTTTCACGCTAAAATACTCAATAATAATAAATGTAAATGCGCCTTTGGTTTTAACATTTAATCTAGCAAGATTAGCAACAACAATAAGGGAAACTGGCAAAAAATGAGCCAAACAAACTTTGTGTTACAAAAAAGGTGATGCCACATTCTCACCACACAAACCTCTTTTTAATGTACCACTTTATGTTTAAACAAAACGGTTTAAGATATACATCACAAAAAACTAATGAAAATGACCAAGAACTTTCAAACACAAGAAAAACGTGTGTGTTAAAAAACTTGCCAGGTGAATGTCTGTAGAGCGTTTCTGAGCTTTTCATAGAGGAAATGATTCAACAATACAAGATCACAAAATGTCATCGTATGGTGTCGTTGAGTGTTTGCTTACCAGTCCTGCAGTCTTGATTTCACATTGTCCGCAGTACGTTCCCCTCAGACGGTTTTTCCTTCTGTCTCTAAGGGTTGGAGGTGGAGGAGGCGCTAGAAATATCAATAGCATAAAAATAGCAAATATTCAGTTGTTAACAATTGACAATGGGATCTCATTTCATATCTGAATAAACTGAATATATATTTATGTTACATAGAAACAGCATCAGCATCAAAATACAGTACAGTAGATAGAGAATCACTGCTAATGGCTTTCATGCAAAAATAATTAACATTTGCCTGGTTTGTACAACTAGTTGAACTCTTCAGAGGATTTTGTCACAACGCATCACTTATACAGTCCTTAAAAACGTCTGTGAGCTCATTTTTATTCATAAGCTGATTCGAGGTTGGTTGTGTGTAATAATTCGTCGCAGGCCGGCTACTGCTTACTCAGATTCATCTTTAACAGGAGATGCCAAGTATGCACCTCAGCAGAGTAACCGTGCCTGAGACCCTGAACCTCTGCCAGGTCCCAGGGCTCTGCTCTTTAGCTGTTTTTCACACGTAGTAGAAGGACTAGTGTATCAAAGGACCCGCAGTCCTTGAGAGCACCTGTGTGTGGAGTCTACCTGGGGCAGGTAGGCCACAGCGGGAAGCCAATGTTGTGGCCGTAGACTACTCACCTGTCACGAGTCCATCCTTCAGCACTCGGATGGTCAGCTTGCCTGATGACAGCTGTTGAGCAGACAGGGATTAACACAAAACTTGATGTGAAAGTCTCTTTTTGTAAAGTTCATGTATCTGAAATACTCTGTTTCTACTACCACATCAGTGTGTTTTTTATGTTCAAAACCTGCTACCCATGAGGGTTTTGTGTAATGTAACATTTGATGTCTTTTACTCCCAAAAGTGTAAACTTGAGAGAAGTGTTTTTCTGGTAAGTGTTCTCCCCTGAGATATAAGGCGCACAATTAAATTAGAAAACAAATGAAGGGCAATCTCAAGTCGGCTATGCACAGTGCACTTTAGGAGTGATTGGACTTATTTTTACGGATGCAGGCCTGTGGTGCACTCACAGCAGATCTGGAAACAGGACATGCATATTCTACAGTGCAGGTAACACTTGAGGTCACAACCCACAAGAAAAAGCTTTTCATAAAACAACAAATCAGGCTTGTGAACAAATGATATACGCTGGTTTGCAGTGATATTAAATATGGCAATATGTCAAATGTAATCTTGTACCTTTTGGAATCTGTTCTCCTTGTCCTTCTTTACTCCACTTGTTACAGCATTGCTGTTTAAAGAAGCACACTGCCCAGACTTCCATCTAAATCCTCTCGGAAGCCTGAACGGGCAGAACGACAAAGGGAGGGACAGTTTGACTTTGGTAATTCTCATATATATATATATATATATATATACTGTATATTGGGATACTCTCCCTTTGAATTTTAAGCGCAAAACTTGGTACTTGATACAAAAGTATCATAACTGCCAATTGCCTCCAGTTTTATTTATTGGCATAGCACATTTCAACAACAAGGCAAAGTTCAAAGTGCTTCACATAAAACCATTTAAACAGGCAAAAGAAAGATACATTTTTAAAAAGTAAGTAAAAAGCATCCACTTCATTTTTATAGTCTGGTTTAATCAAAGGCAGCAGCAATCAGAAAAGTCTTCGGTCTTAATTTGAAGCCACTGAGAGTCTCAGCAGACCTGCAGCTTTCTGGGAGTTTTTCCAGACTCGTGGAGCCAAAACCCTGAACGCTGCTTCTCCGCGTTTGGTTCTGACTCTGGGAGCAGAAAGGAGACCCGTCCCAGACGACCTGAGGGGCCTGGAAGGCTCATAAGGAAGCGGCAGATGAGAAATGTACTTTGGCCCTTGAACCATTCAGTGCTTTATAAACAGCAGACGTCCATCCTCTGTTGGACGGGAAGCCAGTGTAAAGACCTCAGAACTGTGTGAGTGATGTGATCCACTTATAATAATTCAGAAACAGTGATTACATCTGTTTATGTCCTTGATTTGATTTGTTTACGCCTCGTTTTGTTTTTGTCGAAGACGGACATTATACAGTCCCTTTGATATTCATTCTGCATTAGAAGATCTGGGTATGGCAGCATAGTCATTGGAATTCTAGATTAACATCAACATGATACACAGGCAGAGAAACCCACATCTCACAAACGCACATAAACACAAGAGCAGAGCGGGAAGAAAAAAGAAAGGTTCTTGGAGGGAATTCTCATAATAAGAATTGTGTTATAACAACACAAATTATGCTTCTGTGCAAATTCATAGACCAAACTGATTGTTTCTTTCATGTTGCAGACAATTATCTGCAAGTATCAACAAGCTCAACCACGACGAGAGAACATGAAAGGTGACGGGAATGATGTACTCGTACACACGCGGGCATAAGTGCAGATGCAAATCCCAAAACATAAATGCAAACGTACCCACACGCGCATACATGAACGCGGTCATGCAGGACGCACACGGCACTTTCAGGGAGTGAAGAAACGGAGGGAGAGATCCTCATTTAGACGAGAGTTATTCATGCTCAAGTTGTTGAATTATTTATGCTATTTATGCCATTGTGATGTCTGTCGTTGGGAGAAGTTTATTTTGGATTGAGCTGGCAGCCCGTCAGGCCACAGGAAGTCGGAATCTATTTGCGTGTGTGAGTGTGTGTCTCCCCGCATCGGTGTGTTGTGTGTGTGTAGGTGACGGCGAGACTTGCCAACACGCCTGGGTAATGTCGCCGGGGTGATTACCTGACGCCCACCATCAGTGTCAGCCCGCCACATCCACGGCGTCAGGTAATCACCCTGACGACATTACTGTGGCAACTGGACTGTCGCTAGGGGAGACAGTTGAGGCACACCCCTGTCGGTGCAGGATGACAGGGTGTCCCCTCGGGACAGGCAACCCAGATAAAGTGTGTGTGTGTGTGTTTGTTGGTGCATCTAGCAGAGATGTCTCATTATCTAATCCACACAAGCGCACTATGTCTCACCCACGCAAATGTGTGCAAGGAAACTCCCACTTCAAAATAACAAAGGCAAAAAGTTGTTGTTAGAAACGTAGAGCTACCGACACGTTAATGTTTCTCTGTCTCATACGTACACGCAGCGGGGTGAGAGAGAGAGAGAGGACCTGACAACACCTGCTACACAAAGTGTCACATGACGCACACACTCCTATCACACGTTGCTGCGCCGTGTTGGATCGCAGATGACAACCTGAAAGTCACAACCTGCATATTGAAAACAAACATCAAAGGCGACACCAAATGCCACCTCGTCAAAGAACATTTCTTCATCAAAGTGGAAGAGGAAGGAAGCCAGTGAGGAGCACAGCTTCACGTCGGCTTGGATGAGCTCTAAATGATGAACAGATACACCGCGACGACAGGAGGAGACCAAGGCAAACACCCCGTGTCCTACCTTGAGACACACGGCCAGCACCTTCGCCGACCCATCTCACCCAAAGGGAGAACTGTCAACATCTGCCTCCTGCACACACAAATGCAAATGTGCACACACTCCGAGGTCTACTACCAAAAAATTAAGTTTTTCCCTGAAAAACGACTACACCAACAGCAGAGAACAAAAAGGAAAACACAGAATACGATTAAACTAAGAGAGTGAAAGAGGGAGCAAATGAGCCAGTTGGAATGAAAACACAGCAGAGACACGAGGAGGAAGAAAGGGAACCTCGACTGTACTTTTAGATAAGGCGAGAGCTTGTGTCTGAGATATGAAGGCCGTACGACAAAGCTACATTACATCTGCGATTCGGGCATCGAGACAAAGAAAGATGTACTGCGGTCGCCCCCAACTCGCCGCTCTGGCTTTATTATCGCCTGTGTACTTTTACAAAACCGATCACACCGCACCTCCCCTCAAAGCAAACCAAATTGTTTCGCCTATTCTTTGGGTGCGTAGATAACACTGTGTGTGTGTGTGTGTGTGTGTGTAGCCCGACTCTAAGACGGAGACGAACGCTTTATCTAGTCCGGGAGCTCTGCGATTTAAGAGACAAGCAGAGAGGAGAAAACAGAGCGGCGCGTAACAGAGACGCACACTGCACAGCCCGAGCAGAAATCACAGCTGGAAGATCTGACGTAAAGGCTTGTCAAAGGCTCCGCCGTGTTCTGAGAGGAAAAGCGGGTCAGGGAGGAAGCTTAAAGAAAATCCAGGTAACCTTCACATCATACATCAGAACAACTGATTACCCGCCAAAGCCGGCTCTCTCTCGCCTGCCGTCTCCCATGTCAATCAGAGGAGGGACCGACGAGAAACTTTCAACTTTTTCATTAGAGTTGTTCCAATTAACTGTTTCTGGGGTTCCCACCGAAGAGACGGCCGCGTGGCTGCACAGCCGTCAGATGAAAGGTAGGAGGGAACTGCAGCTCCATTAATGTGCGGTTTGATTGAGAAAGTCTGACAGGACACGTGTATCCGTTTCATTTGAGTTCCTTACGATGTCGTTTACTCCGTGTCTGCTTCTCTTCAACGTCAGTAACTTCAAATCACCGTCTGCTCCTTGTGTCTACTATATTGTCGTGTCAACCGACAAACATCAAATGCAGAAACTAAGTGGGTTGGACAGACTACCAAAGGAATTTGGCAGTAGTTAAATATAAAGGGTAACAAAATGTATCTTCCTGCCCATCTGACTGAAGGAAGTTGCTCTGCTTCCTCTCTTCATCACCCTTTCAGCAGTAAGGCTGGAAAATGAGAAAGGGGATCCAATGTTCGAGTGCGCTCTCCTTGACAAACAGGGCTTATTAGTGACACCATTTCAAGTGAAGAAAAAAACAAATATGAAAGGCGTTAATAGTAAACAGCGGCCTTGGCGTGGAACATTTGTTTTCTGCATTGTCTACTTTGAAAAAGGAAAGGAAAGGGTTAGAGGGAAAAGAGAGAAATTGTGATCATTTGTCATGGTTTTTCCCTGACCTCTCAGCCACGTCGTACCCAGAGTATATTCTTTCATCTGTCTACTCTTTGTAGTTAAGCCAGCTGAGTCTTTCCCCTACACACACGCACACACACTCTCGCCGTATCGTTCCACATCAAGCTGGCTCACATAAAACATATATTTTTCAAGCTGGTGATTTTTCAAAGACGAGGGTTTAAGCATAATTTCTGTCGAGCTGCGCAGTTGACTGCGTCTTTACTGATTAAGGAACACAAGACAAACCGAAGCAGCAAAGTGTAGCACCCTGTAACCTGCAAAGTGTTCAAACACACACACACACAGAGGAATACAATTGCCATTATTTATGGAACACTGCTATCAAAAATACACACAGGCAGCCACGCTCACACCTTGTCCTATCTTGGGGCTGGCGGAGCGGTAAATGTTGCAGTACTTCAGTGTGACAGGAAACACTGTGTTTATGTGCTTATCGTTTGTGCAGCGCGGCCCCCTCCCCATACTGATGTATGGCTTCTTAATTAGAGCTATAGGCTTCACTTAGAAACACAGCAGTGCTCGTATATTTGTGATGATACATATATATATATATATATATATATAATACTAGTCAAACGTTTTGACTGGTACTATATATATATATATCTCAACTAATATAACAAAATGATGTGGAAAGAGTGAACCTCATCATCCTTCAGCTCTTAATTACTAAAGGTTATTATAGTGCGCAAACGTGTGTGTGTGACCTGTTACTATTTGTGTTGGTTTATGCGTAATATATATACTCTGCATCTCCTTAAAGCTGTTCCTGAGTAATGTGCTCATATATTGTGATATACGCCTCTACTACGCCGTTCTCCATATCCTCACATTGGATAACACATCTCTGAGTTATTAAGAAAATAAGATGATATGAGTTTGGAAGTGGAATGGAAGAAAAAAAAACACTCACAATAACAACCGGTGTTTGAAATTGATTCCCTGCACACTGGTGGCTGGGACGCCCCCTCAATCTTTGTTGGATAATAGTCACAGTAATGGGCTAGGTGCATGAGTGTCCCTGTTTATGGGGGGGGGGGGGGGTGGAGAGGGGGAGAGAGAGAGCGCTACCCAGTACATTTGATATTAATTTGAATATGTGCATTCATTTTTGACAGTCTTATAAACTAAAACAAGCACACACACTGGAGCAGTGTAATTTCTTGGTCGCCTGTGTTGTTTGTCTCTTTGTGCGTGTGCCTTCTTGCTGTGTGTACGCCGTCTAGTTAAGAATGCCATAAAGCCCAATTAAAATACAACTTGTTTTCTTTTATTGCAAATAAACAAAATCACAATAGATGAGCGAGAGTGTGTGTGTGTGTGTGTGTGTGTGTGAGATCAATCTCAGTGTGACTGCTTTTTCTAAACAACTGTGTTGCAGCAGATAGGGCCCTATGGCAACTGATACATAACATCCGCACTTTTGTAGATTTCCTCTTCATGAATTTTTTATTTTTTTTACTTAAACCCACGGCTGTCCCATTTAGATTAAAAATATATTTTTCAAAGGGGACCTGGCCAAGACAGGAAGCAACATAGAAAAACATAGTTACAGACAAAAAACACTGAATAAGACAAGTTAAAAGAGATCTATCATGTGTCATTTGACTACTCAGGAATTGAAAATAGAAATGAATAGAATGAAATGTCAGACTACAGCAGAAAAGTGTGTTTCAAACGCTTTTGATCAGTTTGCACAGCGAATGCAAGTTTTTGAGATGTTAGGACCTACAAGGCGATGCGACCGGCCACTGATCTGCAGCTTGCAGCCCAACTCCCGAGACGAGTGGCCGGACAACGTCTGTCTTCGTCCTTTGGTGATTTACCACTGGCTTTGATGTCTCCCTAGCATTTTCATTTATGATTATATGATGTAATTGACAAGCTATGAAAAAAATTGTATATTTGGGTAAAGACTTGCCATATGCAAGACATTTTATTAGCTTTATTAGAAAGGTTAGTTTAACATGAAATACATCTCCTTTGTATCTTCACATCATTCATGATCTTGATTTTTTACAAACAAGTTATTAGGACCAATTTCTGTACGGCTCCACTGACCTTTAGAAAGGGTCCACAAAATGGGTAGCGGCCTACTTCATCTATGACTCTCTTTATCAACTCTCTGACTGCTCCTTCGTTACTTCCTTGACAACCTGCTCTTGACCTTTATAGGTAGAGAAGTCTTCGACCTCCCCCTCTTTCTCATTTACTCCCCTCCTCCATCCATCTCTATTACTCAGTGGCTGCGCTCCTTTTCCTACAGTCGGGACACAATCCAGCCAGAAGTGATGACTAGAGGTGAGGATTATTGTGTAATTAGATATAATGATTCCACTGATATCCTTATGGAACTAAGTACATTTTTTTGTATTTGCATATTTCCTTGTAAAGGCATCATTTACTTTCTTTGGCCAAAACTGAACTCACAATGCACCCAAATGTGTTTGCAGAAGCTATGTGGCTGAGGTATTTGTGCATGTCGCTTTCATTGCTTGAATTGAGCGGGACAATAAGCCTGAGACATCTTTGACCGAAACTGAACTCATAATGCACCCAAATGTGTTTGCAGAAGCTATGTGGCTGAGGTATTTGTGCGTGTCGCTTTCATTGCTTGAATTGAGCGGGACAATAAGCCTGAGACATCTTCCGTGTTTAGCGTTGGCCGTTGTTTTTTGGCATATACGTGTATATGTCAGGTCTCTTAACTTCCAAATCTCATTCCTTAGTTCTCCTTGCTTTATAGACTATCATACAAGGAACAATTAGATATCCTTTTGATATCATGTGCCATCATTTGGCTTTTGTGTGATGTTGATGATGTGACTGGACTCACCATGGATATCTGGCAAAGACATAACTATAAAAATATCTTTCTTCTAACAGGAAAGCATTAGAAACATAGTTCATATGAGTGACCAACTGATCTCATACTCAGCTTAGTTGTTATAAGCACCACCATCTCTCTTACAAGATTCTTATATAGAATTTGAATAAATGAAAACTGTGTAAAAAAGGAGTAAAATCCCCCTGGTACCGAGACAATGTTATAATTATAATGTGCATGCCAAATCAAATACTGTATATAACTCAGTACTCAATCGAATGTGAATCAGGCATGTAGTTCTTGAGACAACTTGCTCTAGTGTTCTACCTGCTGTGAACTACTGTCTTACTTCCATTCTCACCTTCCCACTTCAGTGTGCTCCTTCTCGTCACCTCTCCCTTCACTTTCTCCTCCTTTTCTAATACACAAACCGTCACACTGATACTCACGCTCTCTCCTCCTTCTCTTTACTCATGCTCTCTTTCAGCTGCTGCAGTTGCTCCTCGATCTCTTTGCTCTCCTGGGCCAGAGTCCCCGTCGCCATCTGCAGTTCTTGCGGGTTCCTACGGCAACATACACTCACATCATGAGCAGTCGATCAACAACAATCAATCATCTAAATGACCTCCGTCAGATTGGACAGCCTGGTTTTCATCAATATGTTCAATTCATCCACTGCACTGGTAGATCTCTGTTGCCATGACTGATCAATGGTTTAATCAATTAGACACTGGATTAGGGTACCAGAAAAGCCAGACATCAATTCAGTCAATTAATTCTTGCTAAATGAGAAACTATGTAGGAAATCAGACTTTATTTTGCATATTTTGCAGAAAAAAAAGTACAGTGCACTGAGAAAGAATTGGATTGGAATGAAGGTCAAATGGTTTATCTTGCCTAAAACTGCATTTTGTGAAACACTCATTATGTCGACAGAATTTAAACGATGGTTCGAACAGATGGAAACAGTATGGCTGCAAAGTAACCCTAATGGGCTTTGACCAAATGCGTTAAATCACATCATTGATCTAATCTCGTCTTACCTTGCATTGAGCTTGACAGATTTGGCCTTGTTGTTAGGAAGCACCACAAAGTCATTTAAATTCATGTCTCTGCTGTTTGGGGGGGATCGGGTATTCCTGCTGCGTCTTGCGCTGTCCTTGTTACAAAGAGTCTCCTCTGCAATAAAAACCGAAAGCAACGGCATAAAACCGGCTATCACACTCGGCATGGGCTAAATCACACGCTACCATAAATGAATATTGCTGCAATGAAATGAACGAAATAGCAGGGACAGATTTGCTCAGATGTACAAGAGGCAGTTAAAATCGTGTGCATTCAAACTGTATCTGGCAGACGGGAGTATATGCTTGAAGAATAGCTGGTAACCCTGTTAGGCAGTAAAAGCCAATTAAATAAATTATCCAGTAAGGCCGACATAATAGATTGTCATGCAGTAACGGCACGGCACAAGTGACTGAGCAGAAGGCAAAGTGACAGTAAGTGGAGGCAATAAGCCACCGTAAGTTCCGCTTAAAGTGGGTAAATTCTTTTTTTTTTTTTAAAGGACCTGACATTTCACCTGCTAGTGCCTGATATAAAGCCTCTGCCCACTGGACTGTAAAGCGGTGCAGGTCTGAACCTCTATTGAACCCCCCTTGGTGGAAAGCTACACACTTCAGAAGGGGGATTTTTACTTGTCAAAGCTTGGAAAGCACAGGTGCAATAACGACGGCTCAGTTACATTTAAGAGCCTATTGAAGCTGTACCAGGTATAATAAATATCATCCTTGATTGATATTTGAATCCCACCTGTGCTTCTGCTGCCCTGACATTAGTATCTTTGCAGCTTTGACGAAAGAAGGCCTCAACACGGGACATCGCGCGACGGAACACGGAGGACATCTTTAGTTTTTTGACGAAAATGCCTGAGAACACGTCTTGGTCTGAGCCACAGTCGCGTCGGTCGAAACGAAGCCTAGCTTCGCTAAAGTACGAAAAAAAAGTTTAAAATTGTAGTTTTTGATGTAATTACCGAACACTACGAGGATGGAAGCACGTAACGTTGGCTAAACGGGAAGCTAGCAAGTGCTCTCGGTAACCTTGTAGCGTAACGTTGACACGACGTAACGTTAGCTAAACTAACGTTAAACATGCCGTTATACATGTGTATGTTACTAACCTCACGCTCACGCGCTCTCTTTGGTTTACCCGCTTGGGAGAGAACAATTCCACTTTAACGTTTTAATCCGGCATGCTTTGTTGAAATCAAATAGGAAAAAACGTGTGTTAACTTACAATAATCGACGATATCTATTTTAATATTTCGCCGGCGGAATGCTCTGGTCTCCACTCCATTCGGGGTGGGGGGAGGGGGGGGTCGTTTGTTGGGCTGTCGTAACCGGGGCAACCGATTGGTCTCGCGATAGTTCCGGAGCTGGTTTGTTTTACCGTCCCTTTGGTTTATATTACTTATGCCAACAGTTGAAATTCCTACCCAACTCTTTACACTGTATGTGACATACACATAAAACAAACCAAGGTTTGCTTCAGCAGTATAAAAATATATAAAAAAATGTCAATGTAAAATATACTTTCCAAACCAGTCCACAGAAAACTATAATCTATCTATAATAATCATTTTTTTAAACTACGCGTCCCGAAGATAGTATAGTATGATATAGTTAACGAATAGTTATTCCATCATTTACAATCAAATGTATTAGTGATGTCCTTGCATACACCCGTATTTCCCTAACCGACGGAACTCAAACAGATCAATATATGCATTGATGAAACTCTGCGTAACCCATTTCCACTGCTACTTTTTTTTCCGTCTATGTACCTATTCTCCCTCGTCCTCCTACGATTTAAACCACAGGACGATCGAGGCCTCTCTCTCCCTCTCTCACTTGACATTGTTGCCAAATGACATATGACCTATTGCTCCTGCCATCAGGGGAGTGTGAGTCAATGACTTATTAAGCGTGCCTGTGTGTGTGTGTGTGTGTGTGTGTGTGTGTGTGTGTGTGTGTGTGTGTGTGTGTGAGCGCGGATGGTCATTTAGGGTCCAGCTGGATTCTGTCTCTGCTGCTAAACAGTAACCCCCACCCCTGCTCGCACAGACAGCTGGGCATGCTGTAGCATACCGATGAAGACAGCGAAGGGATACGAGTGGGAGTCGAGAGATACAGAAAGAGGATGGAGGGGGGGGGACAGAATGCATGAAAGGAGACGTACGACAGCAGAGCAGTCGCGGGATAATGACAAGCGTTCTGCAAAATGTCAGGGCTGTTTCATTCATTAGGAGGCAATGATTATGGCGCTATACTGAATGTCATCAGCTGGGTTAAACCTTCTTCCGTGGCTTGATGCTGTATCTATACATATATATATATATAGACTGGCAATGGTTGGAAAGCCTGTTAGCGATGAGAGTGGTAGCATTGGCGACAGAGAGAAAGGAAGCAGAGAGAAAGTCTTCAGGTAGCCAGAATCAACATTATTTCTGGGACTGCTATTAGAGCAAATGGTGGAGTAATTGTTAAATAACCTTGAAATAAGTTGATTTGGCGCTTTTGCACATTGGTTCACTTATTCCTACCTTCTGGGCGGTGAAGACTGTCTGCATGTACAAATGGTGGGCAGGCACACCAGCTGTCCATCATAGAATTAACACTGGGTAAATTAATCTATATGGGCAGTTCTAATGGCCAGCAGCAAAAAGAGGGAGGGGGGGCTTTGATGCATGAACAGCTGGCCATTGATCCAGGATCTTCTCACTTTGACTGTCAGGTAACAGCTTTAATCACTGAGCCCATTAGCTGCCCCTCGCTGAAAATGAAAGGTTGGGAATTCGTTTAGCCTTAAACTATTTCAATCCTGACCTGAAGTTATCGCACCAAATCAAAGTAAAGTGCCCCAAATCCAAAGTAATGGGTACAGGGAAGTGAGGCTGCGTGATCATAATGGCAAGCCAAATTTTGATATTGTACACACATTTTTCAAAATGACTCAGGCATGGCTGCTGTTGTTGCTGAACCTACATCCATCGCAGAGCTCCTACTGCAGTGAAAGAGTAAAACCACAAAAATAATTGTTAACTCCCGGCAATAGTTATTTCAGAGACAACAAACATAATTTACTGTCACTGTTGTTTGGAAATTCCAACAGCAGATCCACTGAAAATAATGAGATTCCTTCTCAATGAGGTTCTCATCACTGGTAAAAAAATATATATATATATATATATAACAGGCCACAGCTGTGAAGAGGGGTACTCAGTGGACAGATCTGAGCGGTATGATGAGGGGGTACAGAGACCAGAGCAGAGAATGAAGTTCAGTGTCATTACTTTTGGGCCACAGTGGGCGAGAACATGGACAGGAATACTTGTCCATGTCCTTGACATCATGAAAAGACTCCAGTATGATGTCTCTCCAAATGATGTCTTCATTCTCCCCTGACCTCCAGCCTAAGGTCCCACCGGGTGTGCTATTAGCTGGCGTGTAAACCCGAGGCTTATATACTGTACGTGTGTGATTGTTATATACGTCATTTGTTGAAGACAAATGTAGAACTCTAAAAATCTTTATTTGATTAACATCGACACTGTATGAAATCCAGAGAAAGAAATAAAACACAAAGCTCAATCCACCGACTGTAGACGGCAGAGACGAGGGGGGTGTTTGAAACACAGACCTTGACCAGGAGGTAGTGAGGAGGTGACTGTATGGAAAGAAAGAGAGGAAACAGAGAGGAAGAACAAAAGTGAAGAGAGGGAGGAGTATGCCAAAAAAAAGACTGTGTGAGGGAAAGAAGAAGAAAAAAAAGGGAGGGATGAGAACACGGTGGTGTCGGGAACTGATGACCGGCCAGACGTTGGATGTCACTGAGAAAGAGAGGTAATGAGAGCTCCGGGGGAGGGGAGCGAGGCCGCGGGGCTGCGCACAAAGGCCAAGTGAGAAATTGAGAGGACGACTATGGGAGGGAGAGATGGATGGATTAGGATGAGAGACGTGGAGATCGCGCAGATCAATCGGGACTTTGGCTGTTTGACGGTAAGCAGGGGTCGCGGCTGGTTGATGAAAGGCAAAAAATAGAATGAAAAAAAAGAAAAGAAAAAAGGAGCGAGGTAATAACGTTTGCAGACCATTAAAAAGCATCTGAAACAGAGAAGAGAAGGCGTGGAAAGACTGCAAAAGCAATGGAGGACGCAATAAAGCACAATCCTCCATGGGACGGTGATTAATTGCTAATTTTGGCTCAGGTGGAAGGTTTGACAGCAGGACTGACTCGTCTTGTCAAAGCTGCGTCAAAAGAAAATTGTTTCGTTGCTTTTATATTTATTTTACCCTATTCTTCTACATCCCACTCCAGGAAAGGTGGCGGATGTGACAATGACTGCTGCAAAAGAATCTGGGTCAGACATGACATTTAATAACCAGGGAACAAGCTGATACTGTTTGATCACATCAGCCTATTGTTGTGCCATGGATTACAGAGACAAACGGTGGCACGAACAAGATTTAGAATTGACAATTTTCCCTCCAATGTCTGTTAAACACCGTACGCGGGAGCGCCGGTAGAATAAAACTTGGATACCTTTCGCCGCTGGTATTCTTTTTGAACGCTTGATCACTCTTGCTTCCCCTCCCGCTCACACAAACAGATTTTTGCAGGTACATGCACACACATGAGTGCACACTCGCAGAGGTTCCGTGAGTGGGCTGCACCTCTACTGCCATCTAGAGCTCCCAATGTGGTACATGTCGCGGATTGATGGGAAGACAGCTGTGGCCTGAAGAATGGCCGCTGCTTGATGACCTGTCATCCTCTACACATAGTTTGGGGAGGAGAGCGAGGACACTGATCATGTATCGATCATTTCTTTCCCGCCTGTTTGTCGCAAACACATTTATAACCTAGATACCTAAAGGGCAGAAGTGTGGTGAGCATGTTGGTCATCTTAGAAGACCATAGCACGTGCACACATAGGAGCAGGTGATCGGTGCAAATCAATCATGTCTGTTTGGCATTTGGTGTCCAGGCCTTAATGGATGCGTCTCCGTGTTCACTTACGTGTGAGCTCTACAGTATTTGGACAGCGCCAGCTTCTGCTACACAAACACGTTAGGAAATATGTAGAGTTGTTTTCCAACCGAGGGTTAGAGGAGTCGATTAGCAGTTATAGCGCTTAGCTTAGGTTGGCTTAGCAAAAGGAAACATGGGGAATTAGCCTGGCTCAGTCCAAAAGTCCAAATAGAAGTGCCTTTAAAGTTCACCGGTTAACACATTGCATCTTAATACAAACACAAACAAAACAGTTAGCTGTACTAATCACCGCCTGGCCCCCAGCTCTTTACCAAATGCACAAACATGACAACAACTCTCAGGAAGGAAGTGTGGGGTAAATACCTCCAAATATCAAAATATTCCTTTCAACACCAAAAAGGTCGGTGTCCTTTAGTGAAAGAAGTGGAAGAATAATTTATGGCGGTCAGTTATCTGTCTCTCCATCTCACCGGCTCCAGTCATGCCTTCCCTCTCCCAGCCCCCCCACATCAAACACTGAGGCATTCGCTACTGTTTAGTGGTGGCACATGGTATTTAATTAGCTCTGTTGATCAGTGTTCAGTTATCCAGCCCCCACCAGTAAACAATCCAGATTTCTAGTTAATCATCACTGTATCAGGCCACACCACCTGCTAACGCTGATTATCTATGGATTAATGACCACCCAATCCCATCTTTCACCCCGCGCAGACATGTACAAACACACATGGAGAAATCGAGCAACGTGAAGCTATTTGCCTTTTCCCTTCATCGTACATAATTAAAGTCACGAACACACACACACACTCACACACACACACACACACACACACACACACTCTGCATGACATGCATGCATACATAGACACAGCACTCGGGATGGACAGTTTCTGTCATCGCAGCACTTTCCCAAACAGGCTCTGATTAAACAGCAGCTTAGAGCGCTTTAATTTCATGGAAGAACAGACAGCGAGAGGGGGACCATTGGAGAGACACACAGACACAGAGCGAGGGAGGC